AGTACATTTGTTAGCTTAATTAAACAGTATCAAAAAGAATACTACTAGAGATCAGGCCTGGGTAATAAGGAAGTACACCAATCAAGCTTTGTAGCAATCAAGCTTTTCCCACTTCAGGAAGAGAATTCTGAATAATAATTATGCCTTAAATAAAGTACTTACTCACTAATTAACAGGTCTTAAACGCACTCTCTTCAGTGCATTGCTGACAGAGGGATATATCAAGACACTTCCATCCTCTACAGCTCCTGCTGCATTAATCATTTGTTCTCCTTTCACAGTCTCTCAGTCCCCACCTCAGCCTTTCTTAATCCCTATTCATATGCAACTTCCACGACACCTCCACTGCCCAACTTTTCAAGCAAGGCCTTTCACTATTCTCCCCCATCAGGGAAGAATTTTGCAGATGCTAACAACAAATTCTCTGTGCTCTCAAAGCTTTCTTTCCCATGACATCGCCACAAAAACACCCAATCCCCTCGAACAAGTCAGTGCTGAGCACTGATGACACGATCATGCTGACTAATATTATCCAGCTGCCTTTGGCACAACATTCTTTCAACAGAATGATCCAGTCTCTCTGCACACAGCAGCTGTATCTAAGGAAGAAATGAGTGTTCTCTGACTTATCCTCCTATATCGGACATACCCAATGCAACGGTGGCTTAGTGCCATTTGATAGCCTCCTGTAAGGTAATCAAACTTTTAAATCAAATACATATCAAACGAGAAGCACAAGAGTAAAACGTGCAAGGGAAGAGCTCTGAAGATTCTACATTTACACAGCTTCTCTATGAAGTTCTAATACACTAAAACCTTTTTCTAGGAAAGGCAGCATGACTAAATGTAAGCCAAAACCACCAGCTATGACTTTTTTTCCCCCAAACTCGCTATGTAAAAGCTATCCAAATACTACCCAAATTGTGGATCTGAAAACTATAACTACTACTTTGGTGCACATGTGGTAAATATAAAAACTCACGACATATCAACAGTTGTTTGGACAGAGAGGACATGCTCAATCTTTTCTCAGCAGTTCTTTAAGGGAGTTTCCTACTGATAACTCCCGTAAAAAACCCTCAAAGAGTTGCAGATCCTGGACACACTTTGCCAGTGCAGGAGTAGCAACTGACAGGATCTGATCAATTGATCGACATGTCCCAAAGTGAGGAAATCGTCAGACAGCGATTGCAGATTTCAGCACAGCAGCAATGACTTGCAGAGAGCATGGCAGGCACATGCACAGCTATCACAGTGGTTATCCTTCTCTCAGAGAACACCACACTTCTCTACAGGCGTTCAGGGTACTGAGGCAAAGCTAAACAAAACATGCTACCCAGAGGGTTGCACAGGCAACTTCATAGGAAATGCAATTCTTTACTTATGGACCTTGGGAGAGGTCTCCTTACTTGTACCAGAGAGCCACCTCTTTCAGGGCAGCCTTATCTTCTGGTCTGGTCACCACAGAGCTGAGTTGAAGTGAATTGTAGAAGAGAAAAAAAACCCAAATCAACCCAGCAGAACTCAATGCACTGAGTTATGCAGAGGATTTGTGTCAGTTCCACACTTTTACACTGATGCTTTTGCAATACCTAAACCAATCTAGAAATACCCTGAGGACCTTTTGATAAAAGGATTCTTTCACACACAGTATACAATTACTTTTTTCCCTCAGAACCATCCATTACTTAAATCTGTGATAACCCACACAAATAAAAGGTTTTCTGGCTTGTCAGATATTTACACTCGCTGTTTCTCAGTAAGTCCATCTAGTAGAATATTTTAGTCTGATGATTACTGCAAAAAACAACCATTATGGCCTGAAAACCATGGGAGATTTCATAATCTAGCAAGCTCAGTTAAGGGAGAAATCTTCCTTCAATCTCTAAAAGAAACAGTGAAAGGAGCTTTTAAAAATCCGTATTCTTCTATTTCTTATACTGCCAGCTATCTATTAAGACTCTGAGAGGTAAGATGTTCACTTCTCTACTATTCATCCTTCTTTAGTAAGAATAGTTACTGTATGAAGTGAACCGTATTTTGCACAACAAATGCTCTCATGCTCTAGCAGCCCAAGCAAACAACTCCTTACATCAAGCACATTGAACTTCCTAGAAGGCATCAAGGAAAGAGGCAGTGCAGGTAACTCCTGCAAGTAAGAACGCAGGACATCCTGGTGTGTGCTGCTGTGACACGCCAGCAAGGAACTCGGATAAATACTGCAATTAGCACTGTTAAGGGGTTAGATCCTCACCCTACTCCATTAACAGATTAAACAGAATGAATTCATCCCATAGGGATAATTTTCTTAACAGAAATATCATATAATAAAGGGAAATGAAGATAAGAGTACTTAAGAGATGGGGTTTTCTAGCAGATAGGTTTTAAGTGCCGTCATGGGAAATGCAGACAGACCCAAGTGTTAATAAAGATCATTAGATCAACTTAGGAACAGTTAAAGTAAAGGCAAAATATTTATATAGTGTACAATATTGAGATCGTTCTCCTCTTCAGTTTGCTAAATCTCATGTTGTGATTGTAAACCCTACAGTGACTTCAAGAACTGAGAAGATCGAGGAATAATAGACATACTAAATATCACTCTTAGCTTTTAAATAAAGCATCACCTCAAAGAGTAGCAAAAAGCTGATTAAAAAACCCTGAAAATTAACATTCGCCTCTCATCAGTTGTTTATGAATTCAACTAGAACACTTACCGTACCAGACAAGAGTGTTTGCATTAGCCCAAGGTATTATGAATGCTTAGAAATTACCAGCATTGCATAGCTACTGGCTAGTCTCACAGAACTTAGCAAAGAAACACCAGCACATTCTGTAACTGTAAAATGCAAAGCACACTGACGCTCCCCTTCATCCAGTGAAGGGAGAGCCATATAACACATAGCCACTGGCCAGGAGTGGTTTCAATGTGTCACAGTCAACTACTGTTGCTCAACTCAAATTATACAAGTAAGTACTTGCTACACACAGTCAAACTATTAGTAGCTAAAAGAATGAACAAAGAGTGTTTAGCAACAGCAGCTAAAAGAGCCAAGCATAAGAATTAGATTCCCACTCTCCAAGAGTAATTGAACTTTTTTTCCCCAATCTCATCAGCTAACACAGCTACATCAATGGAAAGTATAAGCTAATTCTTATGTACAGGCTTTTTCAGCAAAAGTATCAGAGCAGCAAGTTTCACCTGGCTGTAGCAATACACTGTCACCTGCCTAGAAGCATATAGGAATTTTAAACTTTGTGGAATATATTATTCTTATAACCCTTCTCAACTCTACTACCTCGATAGTGTTACTGGAGTTAAAAATCAAGCAATTTTTTAGTTTCCTTTAGTGAAGTTACCTGCACTAGAGAACGCAGGATAATCTGAGCTCAGCAACACTGTGACTTATAGTCTATTAAATTTATCCCAATTACAATCGCCTTAAGGCACCAAGGAACTACAAGGCAGCACTGAAGGACAGGGAAGGGAAAACACTGAGAGCTGTTTTCTTATGCGAATCCAGGAGTCCCTACACACATCCCCAAACCAGACCAAGTCCAAAACAGTTTCTCAAGTAAAAGCACTGACAACAAAAAACCAACACTCACTTAAGGCTGGAAGAGACCTGCCACGCTTCAGTTTAAAAGCAGGTATGCTTAAAAAAAGGTATGGCGTTTATGTAAACCAGGAGCCGATGAAAGAGGAACAGTTGAATGCATAGAAATATTCTTTAAAAATTGTAAAGCATGTCCTCAGAACGGTACAGAACGCCGTCGTACAGCCGTTCCGATCCGGTATTATGCAGTCTCTATTGCTAGGATTCCTAAGGAGATGTTCTACGACCTTATCCTGATGTAAAGCCTTTACAACACCGTCATCCCTATTCAGCATGACAGTTCATCCCCACCAGGTCACAGGACCTTAACAGGACCCAGATTAAAGCATTACAGACTCCAATTTTTCATTAAAGCTTGTGCTTGCGCAGCCAAGAAAAAAAGCCCAGCTGAAAAGATCGTACATTAACAACGAACATTTTCAGCTTGAAAATAAACAACCATGAACAACCGCAGGACGAAGCAAGCGAAGCTCCGCGAAAGGAGAGAGCTGATCCCGTTTCGCGGGGTGTGGAACGACCCAAAAATCCGTTCGAAACGAGCGGCCGCGCCCGCAGGATGGCAGCGGGCCGCGAGCAGCGGCGGGACGGGCCGGCTGCGGGCCCTGCCCCTCGGCCCAACGGCTCGGCCGCTCCGCCGCCTCGGCACCGGCCGGCGAGCCGCCCCCCGCCCCTGCCGGCCGGGCTGCCCCGCCAGGCGCCAAGGCGGCTCCCCCGGAAACAGCGCTCGCAGTATTGTCTGTGACAACGCCCGGCGGCCGCGCACCGCGGGAGCCTCTCCCCGGGACACCGTCACGCTCCGGCGGGAAGACAGCCCGGCGCCCCGGCCCCCCCGCCTCAGCCCAGGGCAGAGTCGCCACCGCCGCCACAGCCCGGGCAGCAGCCGGGAAAGCAGAGCACCCCTAGAGCGCAGTGCGGCGCGGGCAGGAGGCGCCGCCCCAGCCCCGGGCCGGTCCCGCGTGCCCTCCGCACTCACCGAGCGTCGCCGCCGCCTCAGCCCCGGACCCGACAGCGCTCCCGGCAGCCCCCGCAGCGCAGCCTCCGCTCCCCCGCGCGCACCCGCGGCTCCACAGCAAATGACGCGAGAACTACGCTCTGCCTCCCCCCACCCCCCCCGCGCTACCCTTCCTTCGCCCCACGTGACTCTCCCGGCCCTATCAGCAGCGTCTCCAAGCGCTCGCGCCTCTCGTGGAAACATCGCGATCTCACCCCACCCCCTGCAGGGCGGCCCCGGAGGCCCCGCGGGGCCGGCTGGGCGGGGCCGGGAGAAACGCCGCGAGGCTTCTCCGCCGTTCTCTGGCGCCCACAATGAAATCCCGCCCGAGATCTCGCGAGGTTTCGGCGCGCTCCCCCCGAGCACGATGCCGCGCAGGAATGTGAAAGGCGCGCGCCCGCCGCCATTTTCTCTCTTTCTTGGCAGACAGCGGCAGCGGCCGGAGCGGCGCCGGGGAGGCCATGGCGGACTATTCCACGGTGCCCCCTCCTGCCGCGGGCGCGCCCGGGGGAGGTGGCGGCGGGGCTGGAGGAGTGAACGATGCCTTTAAAGACGCGCTGCAGAGGGCTAGGCAGGTGTGTGTGGCTCCATCGAATCAATGGGGTCTCAGGGCCTGGAGGCCGCGGTCTCGGAGCCGCGGGAACAGTGAGGGCGCTTCGCACTGGGCTGCGGGGAGCGGGGCCCCTCTGCCAGTGTGAGTGAATGAGTGTGTGTGTGAATTGGGGGGAGCTTTGTCCCGTCCCCACGCCCCCTTTGCGCCACCCGCCCGCCCTGGGCCGCGAGGTATTTGTGGCCCCGCTCCGCCATTGCCCGCGAACAGTACCGGGAGCGACCCGAGGGGATTTGGCGGTGAGAGGAGCGGCCCCGCGGGATCCCCCCCCGGCGGTGGGGAGGCGAAATCTCGGCGGGCGAGTAGCGGCGCGTTATCGGGCCGGGCCCGGCGCGGCGGAGGGACGGACGGAGGGCGGCGGCTCCGCGGCGCGGGCCGGGTTGTGGCGCCTGCGGCGCCCGCAGCCTGCTCGGACCGGTTGGGCAGCGCGGCGGCCTGCGGGGCCAGGGCGGCCCTTGCGGAAGCTCTTTATCCCGCAGCTTTATTTGCAGCTTCTGCACCACGGGCGATATTTTCGTCGCTTCTCGGGCGAAATGTTCGCCTTGCCTGTTTATAAGCGGTCGCGGTTTTGGTAGTGTTAGAGGACACGGTGTGGTCGGATTTTGAAATTGTTTGGCCGGTAAGGCCCTGCCGTGAGATACCGCGGTGTTTGGCGAAGAAGGCGTAGAGAAAGAAAAATCCCGTTTAGGAAGAAGGTTTTGGTGTTTAAAGGCCAAGTTCTTCCTGGGATTTTTTTTGTAGGTGAGGAAAATTGAGGAGACTTTGCTGCCGAAGTCTGAGCACAAGTCTTTTAAAACACTAAAGAAAACCTCTATGAACAAAACTGGTTTTGGCCTTTTGTTTAATGATTTGGGTTCTTTTTATTGCGCATTGTTTAAATCCCTGAAATCTTTTAGAAGATGGGGAATGAACATGGGCCGAATTAATTATTTTTTTTCTTGGCTCACATCTGCCTTTTGTTTAGATTGCAGCGAAAATTGGAGGAGATGCTGGAACAGCAATGAATTCAAACGACTACGGTTATGGAGGGCAGAAAAGACCTCTTGAGGATGGAGGTACGCACTCATTCCTGCTGCATTTATTTTTGTGGAGCGTGGCCACTGGGCTAGAAAGATTGAAGGTGGTGTTTTTGTTTGTGGATTCGGTTTTTTTTTTTCCATGGCAGAGCATTAAAACATTTTGTTCCCCTCATAGATCATGACATATTTTTTCAGTTTAGTGGGGAAGTTTTAAATCGTTGGGCTCTAACCTGATGTGAATGTAAGCCTATTTCACAGTATTTTAAATGCGGTTTAAGTGCTGCAAATAGAAAAATGCATGCTGGGGAAAGGGACAGAAATATTCAGGTTGCAAAATGCCTATGCAGGTGTCATTAAAGTCTTTTGTGGTTGTGTGGGATTGGTTATAACTCATAAATTGCAATTAGGGCAGGAAGTGCTGGATTGCTTCATTAACTTTATTACTGCACTGTTTCAAATAAAAGTATTAATGCATTTCATTGTAAAAGCATAGGACTTTAAAAAACACAGGAAAGTAAATTTTCTACATTGAAGACTCTTTTGTATAGTGTAGCAGTTCAGCCTACAGCACGTGTGAACCCTGATAAGATCATACTTAAATCCGCTGACTTGTTGCAGCTTTTTCGATTTGCCTTGCACTGCAGTAAAGTTTTCTCCTGAAATGTGTGTGTGTCGTCTTCTGTCTCTTACAGAGAATCCACTTTGAACTTAACAGGGTTTGATATGGTTAATATATGCACCAAATCCTATCTAAATTACAGGAAGAAATATTGGAACTTACTGAAGTGTTCTCATAGGTCTCACAAAAGAGAAATGCCTTTTTTTTTTCTTTTAAGAGGATTGAAACTCAGTCTACAGAATGTAACTAAGGCTTTATATCAGGATTTCTTGTGTCCTACAGTAAAGGTTTTTTTTCTATTAAAGGTGAGGTTTTTAATATACAAAAATGAGCTAATGATGCTTCAGATGATATATGTAATGTATTCTTTTTATTTTATGTGTAGATGGCTCTTGGACAAGTCCGAGCAGTACAACACACTGGGAGGGAATGCCCTCTCCTTTTAAAGGCAGGAATTTTTATTTATTACCTGTGTTTAGTATGTAAACATGACATAAACTAGTGGATCTTTCTGGATTGACACAAATATTTCTTGGAATATGTGGCTGAGTTTTTGCTGCACATAAATTATGGTGGTTCGTGTAGCCTTTATTTTGGGGTGGGAAGGAAGCATCTGAAGTGTTATCTTTTCAGATACAGGTTCATGATGCCTTTTATTTCTCTACTGTACAGAAAGAATTTTGACAGTAGTGATGTAGTTACTGTGAATCTGCTTTTTTCTTTTTTTTTTGAAGTTTTATGCTATGAAATGCTTGATATCTGGATAGAGATTTCATATCAACGTTCAGATTGAGATTGCATTGCCATGTGATACTGTTGTATTTTCAGATGTTCGGTCTAGATTTGTGGTCATTGTCAGAATTATTTTTTAAGTTATTGTTGATTTTTGTATGGATTTGATTTTTTTTTTCTTTTTTTACTATAGAAGCATCATTAGCTTGAGCAGCCAACAAAGCTGGACTTTGTTCCTTGTCTTAGTTGAGTTACAGTGACTGGGTATCTGTGAGCTATCTACACACAGTGCGTTCTGAAAGCTGCCTTTTGTTAAACTAATAGATACATGGAAAAACCTAACATCTTTTCAGCTATACTAACCAAGTGCTGAGTGTTCGTGAGATTCTTTCTTTTATTCAGATGATCAACTCCCTGAAATTGGAGGAGGAAAAAGAAAGAAAGGAAAAAAAAAATGGGGGCTAAAATGCACTGGAAATTTACAATTCACACTAAAAGGCTTAAAGACTTCCTGAATTTCTTGGCAAAAAAAATTTAAAAAATCTTAATTTTTCAGATCAACCAGATGCTAAGAAAGTTGCTCCCCAGAATGACTGTAAGTAATTTTTATTTTGTTGCCAAAAAAACCTAAACAAGTGTAACATTGTCATAACAACAGTTTGAAAGTGTTCTGGTAGGTGACACTTGAATAAGTGAGATCCAAAATGTGGCTGGGGGTTTGTCTTGCATTGTTGAAGCAGCAGGAGTCTGCTTGGTAAAACTGACAGTGGTGGTAGCAGCAGTGGAGAGTCCTTATAGTTTTTAAACCTCTTGATAACACTTCTTAAAAGTTAACTTGGAGAAAAGTTTGATACAATTGAGTTTTGTTATCAAAGGAGAAGCTTAGTTGTAACTTGTACCACTTGTTCAAATTTAATTTTAACAATGTTTGTTTATAGCTTTTGGAAATCAGCTACCACCGATGCATCAGCAGCAAAGGTAAGAGTTTTACACTACAACTTACATAGGATTTTTATTGAAACTAAGCAGTTTCATGCAATTTTTTTGAAAAAGTGGTATCAACACATGAAGCATTTATTCTGTCTTTCTGTGATCTGTTGAAGTTTAGCTTTAGCAAGTCCCAGGTCAGACAGTTAAAATGTACCTACATTGCTCTCCCTTTCTTTCTCCACGGCCTAGGCTGTGGATTGAGCCTAATAAAAGAAAAATATATTGGCTGGTTTTTCTACTTCAGCATAGGTAGCATAGCTAGAAGTTGGAAGCAGATCTGAAGAGAAAGGTGATGTCATCTTGTAAACAAAAAGCAAAGCTGAATGACCTAAAACCAAATAAAATCATTCAGACTACAACTTCGTTGTTTTCTCCACTCATTTCTTACCTAAACAACTAGATCCAGCTATTCTTCTTGTGGTTTGGACATTTCTGAGATACCAGAATTTGCAACATCCTTTGATGGTATACAGCTGAAACTTAAAATGCTACAGAAAGTAACCTTTTCTGTACTGCATGTCTGTTAATAAAGAGAATGAAGGAAACTTCTGATTGATTTCTACGACACTTGAACCTTTTGTGTTGTTTCTGTGTGTTGTCAGCTTATGTAGAACTGTGCTTGCATAATGACTTTTAAAGTTACTGGGAGGCAAGTAAGCCAGGCTGCTGGTGGGGCAGTAGCTTGCTTTAGTTTAATGGGAGGATAAATGTAAATGTAGTGCTGGTTTGTTCTCTGCATGGTCATGTCTTTGTTTGGCATTGCCTGTAGGTCTGTGATGACAGAGGAGTACAAAGTTCCAGATGGGATGGTTGGATTCAGTAAGTACACGGCTGTGCTCTTGTGGCATGGTGGCTGGGGGCTGTTAGCACATGCTGGTAGTACAAATAACCTCTCTGTGTTTTCTTTCCCCAAGTAATTGGCAGAGGTGGAGAGCAGATCTCACGCATACAGCAGGAGTCTGGCTGCAAAATACAGATTGCACCTGGTAACTATTTGTGAGGGGGTTTAACTTGTCTGTCTGTCTGTCTGGGGGAATGGGGGGTGGTTGGTGGGAAGTGCAGAAGATTGCTCATTGCTTCTCATTGGCTGAACCTTCATTTAAGATACAGGTGAATTTTTTTTGTGCTAATCACTACTATGATGGGCTAAAGAAATGCAGAATGGGCTACAATGATTATTCTGCTTCATTGAATATGAAAATGCAGTAGTTTGTGTATTATGGTTAATTTCATAGTCTCTTTCTGACTTAACACTGCTGCTAAGTTGGTTTTATTTTATGATTGCAGATAGTGGAGGCCTGCCTGAAAGATCATGTATGCTAACTGGGACACCAGAGTCTGTTCAGTAAGTATTTTTAACTGATGTCAGGACTGTAATCATGATTTTGCTCTCGTGGCAGCTGACCTGACACATGTGGTGAATATATACTTGCTTTTGTCCACTGTTGTGGTAGTGGTTACAAGTACAAATGTCCTTACTTTGCATGCTGAATCAAGCAGCAGCTTTTGTTCTGAATTAAGCTTTGATGAGTGTAACTATATTCAGGGACCTTGAGGAGGTAACTTCATTAAATATGATTAGTAAAGGACCATCTTTTAAATTCCAATATGGGAGTGGTTTTATTGCTCTGCAGTTAGTTTAAGTTACTTTTGGAGATTGATTGAGATTGCTTTATATTTCTTAGTAATAATAACCATAATTCTTTTGCAGAAACTTCAAATTTTAAAAATTGCCAAGCAGAATAGGTGTGGGCAAGAGATACTTGCAGGGATACGTATTTATGAATGTGTCTTTTCTTTCACAGGTCAGCAAAAAGATTGCTTGATCAGATAGTTGAAAAGGGAAGACCTGCACCTGGATTTCACCATGGTGATGGACCTGGAAATGCAGTCCAAGAAATTATGATTCCAGCAAGTAAAGCAGGATTAGTTATTGGGAAAGGTGGAGAGACAATTAAACAATTGCAGGTAGATATGTATCATCTTTTAAATATGATGGTACTGAATGTGGATTTGAGTGAGTATTGACCTCCCTGTTGTCAAATAGGAGCGGGCAGGTGTCAAAATGGTCATGATTCAAGATGGCCCACAGAACACTGGTGCAGACAAGCCCCTTAGGATAACTGGAGACCCTTATAAAGTTCAGGTAAGAAGTGCCTCACAATTAAATGCTTTTAAAAATCGTTTGGATGTTGCAGTACCTGAACAAACTTTTGTTCTTCTTTTAGCAAGCCAAGGAAATGGTGCTGGAGTTAATTCGCGATCAAGGTGGCTTTAGAGAGGTGCGCAACGAATATGGGTCAAGAATAGGAGGAAATGAAGGGATAGACGTAAGCATGGTTGAAAAACTTGTTCACTGTATTTTGAGATGTTAACTTTGAAATGTTAAATTGGGTAATACCACTGAAAGCTTTTAACCAGATTTCAAAAGTTGATTGTGGCATGTAAGTATTACTTGATCATTGCTGAATTTATGACACTAAATGATGGGCAGCATTCACTTTACGTTGCCAGCAGTTACAAATAATTTCAAGTAGCTGGAGATTTTATCAAATAAGCAAGTAAATTTTATGGTCAAGTATATAATGTTACAACATTATTGAAAATGGACTTCGGCCTTTACAGATCTTATTTAAGGCCAGCTGCTAAAGCAAGTCACAAGCTAGTAGCTTCATCAGGGAGAGGCTTAAAGCTTCATCTGCTAGAATCTGCCTTTTAGATGCTCTATAAATTCTTCCTTTCTTTTTTATTCTGAGAAGCATAAAATCCTCTGGGATTGCCCCCACTATGAGAATTTCTAAAGCATAGGATCACTTTTTTTTTAATGATCTTAGTCCAGTATGTGCTAGACTTGTGACTTGATAATAAAAAATCCATCCTTGAAAAAGCCTGAAGTGGCATTGGTCTTGCCCTAGTTAACAACTCTAACCCTTTCATTATGTGGATTTTTCAGTAATATCTGTGTCATCAACATCTTGTTTGGGGTTTTTTTTTAGGTTCCAATACCACGATTTGCTGTAGGTATTGTAATTGGAAGAAATGGAGAGATGATTAAGAAGATCCAGAATGATGCTGGTGTTAGGATCCAGTTCAAACCAGGTTTGTAACACATTCGTAAGTTTTTGTGACTTTAATGTGAATTTACTGGATTGCATATACTGGAATAGTTCGTTTTTATTCCAGATGATGGAACAACTCCAGATAGAATAGCCCAGATCACAGGGCCTCCTGACAGATGTCAGCATGCTGCAGAAATTATTACAGATCTCCTTCGCAGTGTTCAGGTTGGGTAACGTTGTTCAGTGTTTAAAATCTCCTGCCTGCCTTTTGGAAAGACCCACAGTTTTCAAAAAGTGTGTGTAACTAGAAAAAATAATTTAGTTGTGCCATCTGAATCTACTTCAAAGTTTGGTCTGGAATATAAATGTTTACAGTTACAGTTTTGCAAGTGACCATACTGATTCAAAGTCATGGCATTTCTTGATATGTCTGGTTTTAGAACTGGTCCTTCTGTTTTGTGTTAATAGCTAATATGCTCTTACTTTTGGTTGTAATCAGTGTTTAAAAGCTTGTTAGATGAGCCCCACTGCTGCATTTACAGAAGGCAGACAAAAATGGCATCTTTGTATGTGTGAAATTTCTGCTTGCTTCTATATCCTTTCCTCCTTCATCTTTCATATGCAGAATTGTACAGAACATTTTTTAGAATTTAATTTAGGCCTTCCATAAAAGGTACTGCTTCAACTACCAAAATTGTCTGAGTAGTAAATCAGTTTTTTCTTAACAATGATGTAATCTAACTTGTTTGCATTATTTGTTTGCAGTAATTTTATAGAACATGCTTATTTGTTGCTGCTTCTTTTTAGGCTGGTAACCCTGGTGGACCAGGACCTGGTGGTCGAGGAAGGGGTAGAGGCCAAGGCAACTGGAACATGGGGCCTCCTGGTGGATTACAGGAGTTCAATTTTATTGTCCCTACTGGCAAAACTGGATTAATCATTGGAAAAGGTAATATATCTTATGTATGTACCTTGTATGTTACTTTAAAAACCACTCAGCTCCTCTGTTTGGACAAACGCCATGCTACAGAGATGTGTGATGAGTATGATGCTAATAATGCTGAGTTTATACCTTTAATCCCTGTATGGGCCTTTCCCTTAAGAGTTGGACTCCATGGTCCTTGTGGGTCACTTCCAACTCAGAATATTTTGTGTTTCCATGATTTTGTAAAAATTTTTAATTGCCTGATTTCCCCTGTTTTGGAGACTTTGTATATACTAATGGTACACATAACTTTTCTGGACTCTGTAAGAGAAGGATCCAGTTACCTTGTCAGCCTCTGTGGGGCTTTTTTGTCATTTGGGCTTCCTTGCCCTTGTTATAGGGAGGTTGGGTTATAAGTTTATATTTACTGGTAACCATGTGTGTCAGTTGTTATTAATGTCTAATATTAGATGTTTACATAAATAAAAAATACCTACAAGATTGTAGGAATTCTTTGCTGCTGTTTCTGAGTAATATTTTTATAACCTTTAAAATAATTATTTTACTTGTTTATTGCTATTAAAGCTCTACACTGTACTGAAGAGGTTTTATTTGAGTTGTTGGAATGTTCTTGAACAGCTCATAAGAATAGGTGCCTTTTCATGTCTTTTTGGCTTCCGTGCAGTTGACTTTCTCTGATGTGAATCAGTATTTTTTGCTTTTATGCACATCATAAAAACTCTGTATTGCATTGCAGGTGGTGAAACTATTAAAAGTATAAGCCAACAGTCTGGTGCTAGAATAGAACTTCAGAGAAATCCTCCACCTAATGCAGATCCAAACATGAAGATGTTTACTATCCGTGGAACACCCCAGCAAATAGATTATGCACGACAACTTATAGAAGAAAAGATTGGAGTGAGTGGATAATTAACTGCTTTCTTTGTTTACTATTACAGCTAAACAAAGCAGAAAGCAAGTCTCCTTTGTGGGGATTGCTCTTACACTTCCCAGATTAATTTAATCAGATAATAAATTGGTAATAATGGTCACCTGGATTTAAAGTAATATAACAAAATATTGAAAAGAAACAATTCATCTCTTCAGCATCTCTTCACAGTGTGCTCTTGAAAATGCCAATTCTCTGTGTATATGAAAAAATTCTTAAGTTCAAAGATGTCAGTGATAGTAAATTGTGTGTTTTGTTTTTCAGTGCAGTTATGTTCGGGTAAAGTTCTAATCAAAGTTACACTTTCAGTTTCACAGCATTTTTGTTTGCATGTGTGTGCATGTAATCAAATGTACTAGAGGCTTTTTGTGCCTGATCTTACAAGCAGGTTTAGTTAGTCAGATTTAGATGAATTGATTTATTTTAGAACTGATAGTCTTGTTAGAGTGTGGGAAGTTTAGTGCAACTTGTGGAAAAATCTGCAGGTTTTTTGTAAAATCCTTCACTTCCTCAAGAAGGAGCTGAAATAAATGCAGGTTTTTAGTTGCTATTACTGCCACAGCTGCCTCTAACTACCTTTAAGCCTAATCAAACTTTAAATAGCCTGTTTTCTGCAGGGAACTGTCTTTAAAACCAGTCAAACCTTTTAGACGTTCTTTGAGTGTTCAGATAAATGCTTTAAAAATGCTGAAGAATAGAGAAGCTCAAGGTGTATTTTCATCTCTGTCCCACCCTTGTACAGGGTCCAGTGAATCCATTGGGTCCACCCGTTCCCCATGGTCCCCATGGTGTTGTTCCTGGCCCGCATGGACCTCCTGGGCCACCAGGTCCTGGTGCTCCCATGGGACCATATAACCCAGCTCCTTACAACCCAGGCCCTCCTGGTCCTGCACCTCAGTGAGTATTGCCTCAGCTGACTTTTCTGTGTGGGATGACCCCGGGACTGCCTCTCACTGTTGTGTGTGTGATCTTTTATAGTGGTCCTCCAGCTCCATATGCTCCACAGGGATGGGGAAATGCTTATCCACACTGGCAGCCACCAAACCCACCAGACCCAGGTAAGAAATGCACAGCTGTACTGTAGTGCTGGAATATTTCAGGTACATCCATTCTGTCCTTACAAGTATATGCATTGTACAGTTACTTGTGTTACACTCCTGAAGCTGAAAAGCTCCTGTTTTTCTGGCTTTTGTTCACTGATTGTCACTTTACTTATGTTTTGCACTTTCCATATGTGCCTTGTGAAATGTTGAAATTTAATTGTTACAATTGGAGTACGTTTTTTTTTTTTACAAATGTTACTGATACTGCATCACTATTTATGATACATTTTGCAAGTCTTGGTTCACTGATATTGTGCAATTCAGTTTTCTTAAAATCAGTGTTTTTGCATAAAGTTCTGTAATAAGGATGTCTTTTCTCTAATAGTAAATGATTTTGTATTTTATTTTAAGCAATCTTTACTGATTTGTCTTTTTGCAGTTAATGCTATGATATTTCTAGGTTTTGTTCTATTACAATTACTTTCAAAAGTCTGATGCTCCAGTGTATTTTGTTGACTCCCTTTTGAGGGCTAAAACCTTGTTGAATTGCTGTTAATACAGTAAAACTAGTTAGGGTTGTGTATTTTGAGCTTTTGCTTATCATAGTTTTGTATTTTCTTCTGAAACCTATCTTTGTAGATTTTGTTTCTTCTATTTCTGTTTATCTTTGTCGAGATTGGGAGTTCTTACTTAATTGCAGCTTCCAAAGTTGTAGTATCCTGCTTTTCTTAAAGTTTACATCCTTTGGTTGGACTAGAGGATATGGGGAAATGGAACATCAGCCACAGAAGGCATGGTAAGGCTAGATGGTTGAGTTTGTTGTACCTCATTGGTTTGAGGTGGAATTATAATTCCTCACAATTTGAGCCAGAATATCTCAATTCTATTTTTGTTATCAATGACAGGTATTTTATGATGGCCACTGTTCCTGCCATAGATTCAGTTAGTGCAGAAGGGACTCCATGTATGTATCACATGTATCACTTTGCAAAGAGCCCTTGCTGGTTTTAGTTCCCCAACTTCTGCACAAGGTAGCTCTGCATGTACTCAGTTCAGTGTTTCAAATGCCTGCTGACTCCATTTAGAAGTAGAATGGCTCAGAGTGACTTAGTCTCAGCATAGCAAAGTATTTCATGCAAAACCACTGCTAAAAAGTTACAGCCTGTTTCACACGACCTTTTTTACTCTTCTGAAGTTACTTATCTACATAAAGGCTGGGTAAGAAACAATGGCAAATATTCCCTTGATGTCATCTTGATGATTCTGTAACTGTTTTTTTGATGAACACTTCTCTTAAAAATCAAATGAAGTTCTCATATGTGCCGTTGAAGTTGGTGTTTCTTTTGACTAGCATTTGTTTGAATGATTTTTCTACAGTTGTCACTTAGTTTCTCATTCCAGTGTAACAAATGGGTTGTTTTAGTACTTTTTTCAGAGGTGCTTTCTCCAGAACAGTGCTTGCCCTTGTCATGTGAAAGTGGAGCTAGTTACTACAGTCAAATTTCTTTGGAAATTAATGAATCCAGCTCTGTGTTCTTCTGCTCTAGAGAAGTAGCTAAGGAGGAGGGGGAGGAATTGAGCAATGGCTTATTTGATATTTGCAGGTAACCTTAGAATATAGGAAGTGTTAATTTAAATCCACTATTGTTGATGGAAGCAGTGCAATTTAAACAGAAAGTAGTGTGTTAACATTTTTTTCTGTGTGTATTTGAAGTGGTTACATCTGACTTTTGTCACAGGATTTCATTTAGCATTAATTTATTGCTCTGGGTTCTTCTTGAATGCCTTTTTCAGGGGAATTCTTCCTCTTCCATTACTCACTGCCTTACCTGTTTCACATTTAGGGAGGATTGTATTTCCATTCCCATGTATAGTTACTCTGTCAGTTGTGTCCATGTCCTTTTGTGAAATTCTCTCCTCAATTGGCTGAGTTTCTTTGCAGATACTTTTATTCTTTAAGACTGCAAATACTGTTCACAAATATTTGCTGGTTGTGTAGAACCTATTATGTTCTCTAATAGTAGATTTTCAGGTATTGTCAATTGCCAATCTTGTAATATAATAATTCTATGATTCAGTAAGAATAAGCCATTCCTAAAGGCTGAGTGTGAGAAATAGACCCCAATAAAACCCTAGGAAGCAGCACCATTGGCCTACCTAGATGTAGATACAATTAATGAATCATGGAGTTAGATGCAGAAGATGCAACTGTTTTATTATTTTTTAATACTAAAAAGTTGTAAGTAAACAGTGATGCTTAATAGCCATGTATGTGGATTCAGGTTCTTAAAATGCTGTGTGTTTCTCTATTTTACTGTTACCTTAAAGTTTAACTGCCAAGCATTGCAAACACCTAGTAAGTCTTGTATTCTTCTGTTTCAGAAAAATGTATTTGGCATGCCTCCTCCACCGGTGCCAGTGTCATTAGCGTGAGGTTCTAACAAAAGTAAAACCACTGAAATCCTTTGGTGCTAGAGTAATTCATTGCTGCTGCCATTTATTGACATGACTGTTTATTTAAACTTGAAAAATCTGTTTCTGTTTACCACATGTAAGATTAAGTGGCATTGTAGTAGTAAAGGTTCTAAAGTTATTTTATCTCACCAGCTCTATGAAAGTAGTTTGTACAGTACATTGGTCTGAAACCTGATCAAAAGTTTATGCTAGAAAGAAAAAATACTTTCAGGATGTACATGGATATTTTGTTTAGATAGATTTTTCCTTGGAGAATAATAAGAATGCCTAGGACAGGATTAATTGAGGACAGCATTCTGTTCATAGTAGTGCTATTATAAATGCTGATGTTCTGTTTTCATAGGTAAGCCAGGAACAGATCCCAATTCAGCAGCGTGGGCAGCTTATTATGCTCACTATTATCAGCAGCAAGCACAGCCACCACCTGCAGCCCCTCCTGGTGGACCAGCTACAACCCAAACCAATGGACAAGGTAGATATTGAGTGAAATGGACACATTTCTCATTGCTGGAGGTGTAAATACCCCATTATTTTTAATTGTTGTCCTCCTGGGTCAGGTAAATTTATTTTAAGCAGCTGGTTTTCTTGGAAAACTATTGCTTGTAGCCTTCAATATTGCTTTTCATAATTTCAGCAGTAACAAGGGTAATGTATTTATCTTGGAATATACTCCAAAGAGAATTTTGCTGCAATGTGGGCTGACTTAATGACTACATAGAGCAGTCATAAATAAAAATGTAATGAGCTAAGCTGGTGATTGTCATTTCCTTAAATGGTTGCATCACTTCCAGTGGGTTTAGGACAATTACAGTTGTGGTATTTAGTTGTATTATTTTAATTTTTGTGTCTGGCTGAGGCTTACCACTTGAAATTTGGTATTTTGAATTGCTGGTGGTATGCACTTCCTGAATCTTGAAAACATGTCTTTTTTTACTAGTAGTTTGTAATTGTAGTAGCTTGTACCACAAAGGTTTATAGTGTCACATTTGAGTCATGTCATGTGGGACTGTTACTGAAAATTTCAGTGGATTATTACTTGAATTATGTGTGAAACAAACCCCTGTAATTTTAGTTTAACTATTTTTAATGTAATTTAGGAGATCAGCCAAATCCAGCACCAGCAGGGCAGGTTGACTATACCAAGGCCTGGGAGGAGTACTACAAAAAAATGGGTAAGTGTGCAGGGGTTTTTCTGTTTGTTTTTTCTGTTCCACGTTCACAGTGGAATGTTTTAGGAGGCTTGTCTATTTTGCTGGATGAGATGAGGGCTTTTACCCCCCAAAAAATGAAATGCACAATCATGTCTTCTGAACCAAATACTGCTGAGAAACAGACTTGAAATTTTGTGTTGTTTTTAGGCACTTCATGGTACTCAGGCTAGTAATCAGCTTTACAAAAATGCTTCAAACTTAATGAGATGTCTTTGATCATTGGGAAACAGCAACTTTTAAATGTTTCAATCTGAATATTATAAAGTACATTTCCTAAGTTTTGAAGTTCACTTTGATCTACTTTATGAAGCTATTGGTTTTTTATGTTTGGTAATTGTTTCCAATTCTCTTCAGATTACATATGATTTTTTTCTTGTGCTTTGTTTCCTGTGTTTCCAGTTACTATACTAAAGCATCATCATTAGCTATCATTTATACTGTGCCTTTTTTAAAATAGTATTTGCTTTGCAGCACTTTAGAGCTGTATTTAAACTGCAGATTATATGTTGTTGGTAGCTTTCTTTATAAAAATGAAATTAATGTGCTGGTTAAGTTGATTATTTCATTATTTTGTGTATAAGGAGAGGGTATGTGGTTTTCATGCACTGGCAGAAGGTGCCATTACCTTTTAAATCATGGTAGTGTTATGTCTGTGGTGTCCTGCCCTGGGTGCTGCAGGACATGGAGGGCTGGGCACCCAGGAATGCCAGTGCTTTCCCAGTATCTCTGGCCTGGCATACAGCACCATCTGGTTTGGGATGTGTCTTTGTCTGCAGGGGAGGGTTTGGTGGCTGTTCTGCTGTCTTCCTACTGCACTGTGTTCTCATTGAATATTAAAAGCATTCAGATTTAAGATCAATAACATGCATAATTCCTCTTATCAGCCTTCTGCTGCATTGATAATTATTTGCCAAGACATAACTATATTTTTTATTTTGGCACAGTAAAAGTGATCAATTCTACAGAAAATACATAATGAGTATTTAGTTCAACAACTGTGTATCAGACTAAGAAAATTACACCTCCCAAACATGTGATTTCTGAGATAATAGGCCTTCCCATTTTTCTTCTTCCTGGTTCATTCAGCTATTTCTTTTCAATTTACTGTCTCTGTTAGTTTGGCTTGCATTTTGAAATGCAGACTTGTGGGTGGCTTTCACTTTTCTTTAAATCATGTAATTTGTTGGTAGGCTCTCTGCTATCTTTCTAATTTGCTGTCTTGGAAAGCAAAGTCTGGGTTGCACTAGTCTTGCACTTGCACAGATTAAATAATAGCAAGTTACAAGGTGTTGGGGTAGAGTTTATGGGAGCAATTCCAAAGAGGAGTTGGAAAGAACACATTGGGAGATAAAAAATAGTTGGTCTTAAAATGTCAAATGTGAAAAATGCCAAGACAGTCAAATAAGAGGAAAAACACAAAGGCAGTTCTCATCTTAATTCCTTTTTCTAGTTCAGATTGAGTTGTTTGCCTGAAGGAGAGCTCTTGGCTGGACCTACATAACTTACCTGTAAATCATGAGAGTTTTTTGCTTCAGAGTCTTGTTGTGGTAGATACCATTTATCTTCAAAGCCACTTAAAAAAGAGGAATTCAGCTGGAGTTGACATAATGCTAAATGGGGCTGGTTTTCCCCACCTCATGAACAGTAGAACATCAGTAGAAGACCTGATGGACAGCAAGGCTGTCCACCAGCAAGGTCTTGTCGTCTCCAGGCTTTCCAGTACCATTTGTGCTTCCTGTGGTACTGTTACCTTCTGTCCCCATGAACTTGTGCCAAAGGATGGCAATTACAAGTCACTTGCTCTTTGACAACTCAGGTTTTTCATAACACAGGTGATTTCAGCAAGCACTGTTAGGGAGAGCTGAACTGAAATTCAGACTTGCTGAGCCCAGTCAGTTCTGGTTTTGCTGCTGAAAAAAACTGTTTTGATAATCCTTGTGGGAAGCTGAACAAGTTGCCAGTGATATTGCAGTTGGTGCTTTGGATTTTCTTGCACTTAGTTAAGTATGAGTGATCTGAAAATGCTAAAAAACTCCAGAATATGCCCATCCAAACAATAATAGGGTTTTCAAAGTGGCTTCCTACTGGTGTGATATAACTCTACTAATCATGGGGAACACTTTACTGTATTTTTCATTGAACAGTGACTTGAATATTAACCTGTTTCTGAGTCAGAAATACAGTGGCAAAGTCCATCTCCCTTTTCAGGGGAGATGAACCCTTGAACCCTTTGAACCCTTGTTTCAGGGGCTACTGCTTGGAGTAGCAAATACTCCAAAAAAGTTTCTCATGGATAACAGTTCCCTTTAAACATGAAGTTATGATCATTAGTAAATGATCCATATGTCACTATCAGAATTTTTAACTTTATTATTTAAAGTCATTCCCATATATTGTGGGCTTGACATACAGTTAAAGGACTCAATAATAAAAGAGGAGTGTTTTTAAAAGATTCCTTAGCATTGTAGTGGAAAGAAGAAACAAAACAGTTTACTTTTACTAGAATCACCCTTGATAATGTTGAACTATAAAATCTACTGGTGTTTCCTTTCTCAGCCCTCCTTAAAGGGGATGTGTTCTGTGTTTCTCATGTTTCCTCTTGCAGTGACAGTAATTTATAAGTACAGTTATTATCTCACAGTAATGGTGAAATTGGAAAGAGTGTACCCTGGGATAATTTGTAACCCTGTTAAAGGTAGTTTTTGTTAAAATAATTGATCAGAAGTGTAAATTGTAAGCTGTAGTACATTAAAAGTTGTAAAATGTGAAAATAGCTCTAAAGATTTTAAAAAATGTAAGTTTTTTTAGAAATTCCATTACTTTATAAACCAAAATAAAAGATGGATAGACTTTCAGAGCTTACCTACAGTGCAAGTGGAAAAAACTAAGTTGTAAGGAGAGTTGGAAAATAGAAGGTTGTATTTTGATGGTTTTCAGGATCATGCTTTGCCAAATACTCATATTCTCTGCTCACACTTGATGTTTTTGAGAGGATTAAAGATTACACATGTGTAGGAGTAGTGTGAATAGCTAGGATTCTTCATGTGAAGTTTCTTTGTTTAAGTATTTAAAGATAAACAACCAAACAAAGCCAACCTTCTGGAAAAAATACTCTAGAAAAACTTAGCATTTCTGATCCTCATGTTCCTCACAAAGTTGCTCAGTGGTGATCTTGTATTCAAATAAAAAGTGAGGTGGTTTCAGGTAGAACAGAAAACTTTGAACCCTCATCATGTGGAAGCTGCCCCTTTCTGTTCATAACAGAATGGACACTTCGGGTGCACATGGAATTGTACAGGGTGCAGGTTTGCATTTTGCTTGGGTTTATTTATTTCCTGTGGGATGATGTGATGTGGTGATTTGTTTTTGTTGGGTTTGGGGGACTTTTTTCCTAGTATCTTAAAAAAAGCTTGCAGAAGTAGTGGTTTTTTGGTAGTATCCTAATTCTGACTAGAACTTTTGATTTGAAAAATAATCCGTTAAGAATATAAATCAATGAGTTTCATAGGACAGTAATAAAAGTTCTGATTTGGAAGTTCAGGAAACTTGAAATAAAGCCCTGCATATAAAACCATTCTGTCTGGGTGCCTGCAGGTGTGTGTGGACAGATATTTAGAGTATAGAGAGTGTTGCTTTGCTTGGAGTCTCACAGCTCTCAGAAATTGTAAAGATGAGTGGTACTAAGAGGGGTGTATTTGGTGTTTCTGAAGTTGGAGGAAAAAGAAAGTAAAGATGTCTGTGACAGATCTCCTGTGGAAGAACAGCACAACTAAAAGGTTGGCTGTCATTTTCTTCTTTTGCTTGGTTTTTTAGTATGCTGAAGAGTCCCTGTGTATCAGTCTGGCACTGGGATTTTAGTCTGTCAGTTGATTTTATTGAAAGGAGAAGTAATTCTGAGCTCTCTTTGAGAGTGTGTCTGTACATGCTCTTGTTTCTAGAGATTAGAACTTCCACTAAGTGTGGAAGCACATTTCAGGACTGTATTCTGTACTGGAGTAAATGTTTACAACAAATTATTGCACTTTTTGAAAAATGTAACCTGCAATAACTTTGAAATTAAATGAAGTGTGCCAGTATTGGGGAAGTAAATGAATTGGCATCTGCTGAGCTTATGAATGCAGTCTGTAAAATAAGGTAAAATTAGTCTAGGTGGATTGCAAAAAGTTTTGCCTCTTGGTGTGTATTTAAATACTACTGTTGTTTAGGTCAGCAGGCCTTAAACATGATTCATGACTATGAATCAAGAGGCTGAAAAAACTGTCCTTACGGTTCCTTAATTTTGATTTATATGGGAGTCATTACATTAAAGTAATAGAATGTGTGTTCAGGCTGAAAAAAGCAGCCACAAGTTTATTCAGAGTCTTGGAGGAAAATTGCTAGGTGACATGTGTTAGGTGCTGAGATGTTGAGATTTTCTCATTTCTATTGCAACGACAGAGCTGTGTAATTCCAATTCCTTGCAGGTCAAGCTGTTCCTGCCCCCGCTGGGGCTCCTCCGGGCGGGCAGCCAGATTACAGCGCAGCGTGGGCTGAGTACTACAGGCAGCAGGCAGCGTACTACGCCCAGACAAGTCCCCAGGGAATGCCACAGCATCCTCCAGCGCCACAGGTACAGTCCTGAAGTGGTTTTTGGCTGGCTTCTGTCTCAGTGGTTGTAGATATTTTTTTGCATGTCTCCTGCTTTGTTCCTTTGGGGTATGCATCTTTTTTTCTAGCAAAATAGCTATCAGAATAATGAGTAGATGACTTTGTTTACCTGATAACTTGAGTTCTGTATCTATCCATATGTTTGGTGATTGTTTTTTTTATTAAAAAAAAGAAGAAAAACTTTCTCCTCCCAGGGTTTTGAAAACCATGCAAGAAGCCACCACCATTTACATTAACCAATTTTTCTTTCTTAAAGGCTTCACTCCTGAGTTAGCTCGATTTAAAGGATTTTCTTTAACTTTTTGTGTATCTCTTATGTATCTCTTCTGCACAGGGCCAATAATAAGAAGTGGACAATACAGTATTTGCTTCATTGTGTGGGGGAAAAAACCTTTGTTAAATGTATGGATGCAGACGCCTTGATGAAGATCTTAAATTTGGTTAAAAAAATAGTGTTTTTGAAAATGTACAAAATATCTATCACTACTGATAGGAGGTAATATTTCTGTGTAGAAATGAAAAAATGGTTTGTTTTTAGTATTAGTGTAGATGTACACATTCCAGCAAATGTATTTGCAATTATGTGGTCAATGCTTTGTGATATAAATGTACTTTTTCAATGTATACTTTATCACTTTTAAAATGCCTGTTTTGTGCTTTACAATAAATAATATGAAACCTCCTGTGTCGGTAAGTTGGATATGTGGGTATATGCAGTATTGATTATAGGATTGATTTGCAACGCTGAATCAAGGTACCGCTACACAAATGAGTTGGGTTTTTTTTTCCCCCCATAAACCTTGTTGAGTTTAAAAACTTGTCATTAGCATGTTTTTCCCCTCTTGCAGAATAGCTGTAGATGGAGGATCTCTTTCATTCATTGTATTTTGCTGCCTAGCACCAGTAATCTTGATACCTTAATTTTTTTTCTACTTGATTAAAACTGCATGTGTTTAAGAAGATGATCTTTTGGCATACTTCCATTGCATTAACAGTGAAATTTCCTTTTATACATGACCACTGTTTCAGACCTGTGCAGCTGCTATAACAGATAACTTTTGTTTTTAATTGAATACTTCAAAACTGTTCCTGCATAACTATTCTACGGATTTTTTCAGACTAGTTATAAAACTTACTTTACATGTAATGTGCTTATTAAGCCTTCAGTTTAAAGTAGTCCACTTCAAAACTCAGTGTAGAAAAGTCAATGTGGTAATGCATAGTAGTTACAAAAATTGCGTCTGTCCTTAAAACGCTGTTTTGTTTGAGTGATGGGAGTGGTTGAGAACTTCCTGCAGAGCAGATAACTTGTCTTTTTGTAAATAGTCAAGTATTTGAATCAACTGATTATTTTTTTATATATACTTGAAGCTTCTTATTGCTCTAATGCTCATACTAAAAAGCTGATTCTCTTGAAATCCTGTGTTTGCTCTTTGCATATTTATTGGCTCTTTGCATATATTAGACTACATGCACTACAGTCTGTCTTGCCATTGTCTGTTGAAGTGCAGGTTTGATCCAGCCAGTATAGAACTAGCTCTATAGGGGTGAGGAGGACTGTGCTGTGTATCATCCTTGATTGTTCCTTCAAGGAGCATTGCACTGTAAGTACATCAGAATGACAAATTGATGAACTGCAACAGTATCTTTTTGTCAATGTTCCACATAATGCAAATGCTGTGCTTGTGTGATATTATGTTGGAATACAGTGCTGGTATCTTAGGAAATCATAATTGCTTAATTCAGAAACATAGGTTTGCTTATATATATATACATACACATAATCTGAGTTTTGTGGGTAAGTATTTCTGAAACTTCTAGCAATAGCTAAAGAAAATCATGTTTCTGTTTATCTAAGAGTTTCTTTCATTAGTACTCATGAGACAGCTGTCATTCAGTGTTTTAAAGTATGCATATCATAACATTGAAGTCTTTGGAACCACTTGTTAGACAGAGTTGTCTTTGTCTCCAGATAGTTTGCGGATATGTAGTGATGTAGCTATGTTTTAAATAATTCTATAACTGTTAATTGCTTTAATTTTTTGGAACACCATGTTGTTGCTTTGAGAATAAATTTTTTTAGGGTGGCTGCACAGAGAAGTAAAAGTTAAGGCTTGAAAACTGAAGTAGTTTTTTTCAGGTAATCAGCAATGTATGCATTGTGCTGTAGAAATAGAAGGAATTATTTTTATCCTTTTAAAGCTAGGAATTTTCTGGTAGCTTGAAGAAGGCTAGGACAGTATTTGCTATCTTTAGTGTAGGGTATTAAGTTTAATAGTTCAGGTATTTTGCATGGTATTTTGTGGATAACCTTACAGAATGGTGCATTTATTATGTACTAAAGTGAGCAAAATTAAATTCACTGGATTCTTTATCATTCGCAAAATGGAGGCTGTTGATTTTTATTCATTTAAGGTATAAAATCTTTATTAATTGCAAACAGTGCAATTATTTATACTTCACAGTGCCTTCCCAGACCTTCCACCTTAGGTTCTGCTGCAAAAAAGCAACAGGTAAGCACAACCTAAGGAAGTATATAAATTAATATATTTCAGTACATTAATGTTGTCCCTGTGAGATCTTTGTGGTTGTGTATTGAAAAGCAATCTGCTGCTTCCCCAAATGCATTGTTACTCACGGTTCCATTTGAGTGGAAAATCTTAAGTTTTTAAACAACTGTTTATATTTCTAGGTCAATATGTATTTTTTTCTTTTTTCTTTTTTTTTTTTTTTAGAAAAGATTGTTAGATTGCAGTAATTGAACTTGATCAGAATAAGTAATTTTTGTTATTTTACCAAATAGATAATTGTTGCAATTAAAGAATCAAAACCTTTAAAATGTGCAGGAATTGCTTTGGTTAGAAATGTCAACAGCCTTCACAAATGTTTTTTTTATATGATAGGGCACTATTCCCACTTAATCCGTAAGACCTAAATGTAAAGAATGACTTCTTGTTGTTATCACTGAACTTGATAACTTGTCTTACAGTTATAGTGTGTTAGTGGAGTTTGCTTATTCATACTTGACATGGTAGGAAAAGAGATTTTGGAGTTTGAGATGAGTATGTTTTAACTGAAAAAGCATGAGCACCAGTTAACAGTACAGCAAATAATATTTTATCGCTTTAGCAGTCAGTGTATGCTGTTTCTTGATATTTTTAACTGAATTGCTGAATATTTTGATAGTATAAAATGTTAAATGTCATACAGATGGTCTGGTACAGGTTTTTATTCTGAGCTTTTGTTGTTGGTTTTTTTAGCTTAACATAAAGCAGCATCTGTTTGGTTTTTGTTCATTATTCTGCTTCTAAAATGTGCTGCTCCTCTTTCAAAAGTCCTGCTTATCTGTACATCAAAGAAAAATATTCAAAAATACTGCCTTCATTTTCACACACAGTGCTGAAGATGCTGCAAGCACCAAATCATAGCTCATAGAATCAGGTCCTGAGATAGTTACTACCAGTAAAGAGGAATCCTTTGAGTGTATGCCATTGGTGAGCCGATGAGCATGGACCGTAGAAGGGCTCCATGTAGAAGGTAAAATTGGCAAAAGCATAACAGATTTGAAATGTATCCCATACATAATGATATAGGGTATAATTTTTGTTTTGATCACTTTTCATTCTTTAAAGTATTCTTTGTTTGACCATTAATGTTCCATAATCTGTTAAAGTTTTTTTAACTGTGATTTAATAATATAAACCATCTATTTTACTTTATATTCTTCTAAACAGTCAAGCTAATTTTTGAACTGAATAGTTGTGCTTCAGTTTCTCAAGCCACTTAGTATTTCATCTGTAGCTTAACATGTAACTTCATTTTTGACGTGAGAAGAGGGTAGGTGGTGTGTACCGTTTGGATTTTGATACTGTGGATTTAGTGTGGGGGTGAGTCATTTGTTCACTTCCTTTTTACATGGTACTTTTTCCTTCAACTGTTACTCCTAAAATATCTTGAACAGTCTTTCAGTTGCTAATTTAGCCTGTGGGAGGAGATAGAGAAGAAAAAGCCAGTGTATTGGGATGTTGCTAGTGTGGAAGGTGAGATGTTCTTCTGTGTAGCATTTGAGGTGTATTGGCTTCCAGCTTTCTCACTGCAGGGCTTACAGGCATGCTGGTTTGTGCAGAGCATAGTGTTCCTTTTCTGTTTCAACTCTTGTCTCAAAACTCAGAGTTCCTGGGACAGCAGTAGATTATTGGAGTTACCCCAGTAGCCAAAAGATAACTGAACTTGCTTCGAAATGCAGTGAACTTGTCCAAAAGGTGTCTTGAAATGTTTCCTGCTTACCCCACCCATCACCTCTTAGTGTCCCACAGTGAATGTGAAGAGTAAGAAAAGTTCTAAAAGCAAGCATTATGTTCCAAGTAGGAAAAGAATTTTCATATCACTTTCTGCAGCCTATACTTAATTAGGACATTGAATAAAATACCAGGTGGATTCTCTTTAGTGTGGCTTAATTGTAAGTCATCTGTTTCACTTGTCAGGCAGATAGGATCATGATTCACTTGCACAGCCTATCTTGAAGTATTTCATCTTTATACTAGTGATATTTTACTGGATGGTAGAAACTGTTTCTCCCCATTTCTTTCCAGAGTAATTCTTAAGTTTTCCATTGCATGCTAAAAGCTTTTTTCCATTTTGCTTTTTCTCCAGAAGTGGGGGGAGGAAGGGAGGACTGGGCTTTTCAGAAAGCAAACAGTTGACAGGATTCCCTCTTCCCTAGTAATAGCTTATGAAACTCTTGTGTATGCACAAATATTTCTCTTGTGTGCATGTGAAATGCCTTTTCGTCCTGAGAAAAGTGTTCTCTGCAGAAACTACCCGTGTGTAAACAGAAGATTGGCTTTAAAAGGCAACTGTGATGGGAACAGTGTCTTAGGGAGATGCAGCTTGGACTTGAGGTAAATTGAATGCTTTACAAAAATGTGGTTTTGAGCTTGCATTGACATTGTATGTAATATGGGTACACATTAACTGTATAATGGTTTTTGTATGGTTTTTCTCAATAAATGTAAACTGATGAATAATAATAGCAATGGTTTTGTCTTTTTTATGCTCCTATCCCTGCCTTTGTTATTTTGAAGTAACAGCGTCAGAGCAAAATTATTGTATCAACGTGTACATCTGTGAATGAATATCACCCACAAAAAAGGAAGTAAAATGTTCATGTGGTTATTAGAGTAAATACTAATTTAAAACACCATGCAGCTCGTTACCCTTTTTAATGAGGCCAAAGAGTGACTTGCAGCAGGTAACTGTAGAAAGAAAGCAGATTCAGCCACAGTACTATACACGAGTACTTTAAATGTGACTTCTTTTGTAAAGTTACTTCTCCCAAAGCTTCATCTCTGTGGTTCAGATGGGTGTTAGCAGAGTAACATCAGTGTTGATGTCAGGAGGTCTTAAAAAAAAGTAGTACAGTAGCCTTCAGAAAAGTGTTTATAGATGTGGCAATAAACTTACTGCATTAAGATTGAGAAAATAGGCACTTTGTGAAAATATTCTCATAGATGTCACCACCGGTTTTGGTGTCATTCGACCAATGAAAAAAATCACGAGTTTTACAAGCAAATGTTGGTACTTTGAAGACTACTATAAACCTAAAGGAGATGGTTTTTATTTGAGATTATTAGCTTCATAGGTTAATCAGAGCAGAACATTTTCAATGCAAGCCCATTTTAAAACAAAAGAAGTTATGCTGCTTCAAGCAATGGTGAGCGGTTACGTCATCTTTTATTCTTTAAAAATAGTACACTTGGGTTTTTCAAAATCATCAGTAAGTATTTCCTTTGCCAGTTCAGTGCCTCTGGGATAAGGTAAAAGAGCTTAAATATTCAGTGCTCATGCAGGGTACACCAACAGATTTACACTACTACACAAGTTCCAGATCGTGTATTCAGCTTTATTCTCTTACACAAGAGTTGGTCTTCAAATGCTGGAGCACTGTGATAATTCAGCTTTTTCCTTCAGTTGATCTTTCATACATTGATTCCTTTTAGTTTCAGCCTTTGGTACTAGTTTTTGCATTGAGTAGGGAATTCTCACAATTTGAGGGTATATTCTTATCTGATGCAGGAATGACAAATTAATGCACATCCTTGCTTTCTTTAGTTGGCCCCATCAGAGAAAGAGATGATGCAGTAAGAAAGTTGAGGGGAAGAAAGATTCCAGCTAAAGTAGAGCATTAGTAGTCATCAGCTAGAAAACAGAAAGAGGGTTAAGAGAGAGAGGAAGTTAGATTTTCATAACAGGAAAGATAATAAGACAGAGATACAAGCAAATTAAAATGCTAGCTCTTACTTTCAATGGTGAGAATACAGGTGCTAGCAGCTGAACCTCTATTGTTGACTGCTTTACACATATATTCCCCTTCATCTTCTGGGAAGGTTTCTGGCAAGTAAAGGCAGTAGGTTTCTCCTCTTTCAATATATTGATAGTCCTCAGAGTCCTGCAACATTTCCCCTTCAAACCACCATGTAACTTCAGGTTTTGGTTCTCCAGTGATTTTAACTGTGAATCTGACTGGCTCGCCATCAACAACTGATGTGTTTTTCAGTGACTTCTTGAACCAGGGAGCTCCAGATCGAGCTTGATCCTCATCTTCACAAGTAGAACCATTAATAATGCTTCCCTCTTCTTCTTCTTCCTCTTCCCTTTTCTGTTTTAAAATAAGTTGAATTTAAAGTAGCAATAGCACTCTGACTGATAGTGACACATGTTTGATTACAAGTTACTGTGTTTCTGAGAAGAGGAAATTCCACATCTGTCCTCAATACATAACAATGCACCCAATCTGGGTATGCCACAGGCAGTAAAATGCATTTTAATGAGGCTGGAATGTTGGTGTAAAATACAGGCAGGAATGTCAATTCCATTTTCAGACTATTCAGAGGATGTCACATACTCTGACACAGGGTGTCAGCAGTGTCTCACGCTCTTCTGCAAGTGTTCAGGTTGGATGGAGCTTTGAGCAGCCTGATCTCGTGGGAGGTGTCCCTGCCTACATCAGGGGAGTCAGAACTAGATGATTTTAAGGCCCCTTCAACCCAAACCATTCTTTGATTCCATGGAGAGTATGTGCAAACACCAAAAGCAATTTTATATTATTTCAGCAATTCCTAGCACCTGCTAAAAGAAGCAGAACTTTCCTTTTGTATCTGGTAGTGTTGCCTACAGTGGTAATTAGAAGCTAAGTTAAATGACACAACTGGAGAATATTATTTTGCAATTTATACCTTTTGTAATGCTGCATCGATTTCTTTTTGTTCGAACTGCATGCGTAGTAATTTCTGTTCCTCAATCCTCCTCTGCTCCTCTTCTTCTCTGGCTCTTGCCATTTGCTCAAAACGAGCCTTCATGTTGACTTTGTGAGTAAATGGAGCCTCAGATTTCATGGCTGGTCTCACATCTACGTCGTCATCCTTGGGAAATGATAATTAAAAACAGGGCTTAACTATTATTTATTGCCACAGACATATATATGTTAGGAAAACTAGTTTTGTGTTCCCAGAGGTTTTTTTTAACTGAGCAGAGCCACACAGAGACCTGTTTTTTTTCAGAAGTTTGTTTGAGTGTAGGGTGAGTTTTGTAATAGTTCATCCAAGGATAGGACAAGATTTTTGCAAAAGTAATTTCAAAAATTCTATGAAAAAATATTGCTGAAGTTTTATTCATATTCAAGAAGTTGAGCACTTCTTGGCAATTGTAAATCCTCAGTGACTGGATTATTTTGCCATGATGTTGGATTGGGTTTAACACTGAAACAGTTGACTTTATGAAAACAATGAGTGTCAGTCATTAAATTAAAAGCTCACAAATAGGACAGACTTTGAGCTGATGCTGAAGTGACTCCTGTGGAGAAGACCCAGAATGAAGTTCAGATCAGGCTTAGTACTGTTAAGGGTTTTACATTTCATCACAAAAGCTCACACTGAGCATATGGATTACAGACCACTTTGTCACTGCTAGCTCCATTTCTTGGGGTTTCCCCTCTGAAAAACTGAAGGTTCTGGTCTGAAATACAGATAAATAGGAACCCTCTTCTGCTGTACCCTGAGGAGTGAGTGTACATCAGAGAGACTTGATCTTCAAATGGTATTGTCTGGATTGGGTAATTGAGTTTTTTATTCCATTCATGTAGTGGAGAATGAATTAAGAGTTCAGAAGGAGAAGCAGTTCAAGTGATGATTAATAGGTAATTCTCAGGTATGGATGTTTTAAGCCCTCAGACTGGCAGGTTTCAGGTTAAAATGCTGACTTGCAGGGCTTTGAGCAGAAAAGCAGAACTCTGCTTGACCAAATCACTGATAATAAACTGGTGCTGTCTCTTTAAGGGATGCTGCGGTGTGATATCCTTAAGCATCCAAAGGAGGGAACAGGAAAGAAGGGAAAACATAATTTTGGAAACAGCAAAATTTTATCAAAGCAGCAGCATTTTCCACTGCTGGATCATTAGTGTGCTGGTTAAGTAGATCATTAACATACACAGAATGCAACTTACCTCTTGAAATTTTTCAGCTTCCCTTTCTCTGATTTCTTTATCCATGGCTCTTCTCTTTGCTCGCTCTTCTTCAATCTTCTTCTGTATTTCTTCTTGAGACAGTTGTCCTATTTTTTCAAACTTGCTTTTTAAGTTCTTTGCCTGGATAGAACCGCTTCTTTTTAGCTTTATCAATTCTTCATATTCTTTGCTTAGCTCAAAAGTTTCAGACTCTTCTTCCAGCTGTTCAGAAATGACAGAATGTGTAAGATGGAAAGTGCCCTCATTATTTTTACTACCTATTCTCCCTCCAGATGGTATAATTCAATACATTACAGTTCTGTTAGTTATTTGAAATTTCCCCTATAATTTTTTTTTCTTTGCTATCTCATGATGAATGCATTTGTATCATATCTCAACTAGATACAGATTTTAAAATACTTTGCTTGAATATGCCATTTGTTCAAGGGTTGCTGTCAATAAACTGCCCTTCTTGGATTCAGAAAACCACACACAGACCAATACAAAAAACTTGCCTGGAGTCCAAAATTCACCTCTACTTGCTTGCAATATGATATGAAGTAATCCCCTAAACCACAGCTGTTTTGTTAAAAATAAAGTACTGCCTTTTTTATCTTTTCCTAATTCAGTGAAAAAGTAAATGACATTTCAAGATGTCGTGGCTGGAAAAGAAAGGGCAGTTGTGGATCCTGTAGCCAAACCATGTGGGAAGCTGTAATTACTGATCTTTTTCTCCCTCTTTTTATGACCTCTGATTGTAAAGATGTACATGCATTTTAGCTGGGTGTCTCTGTCTCTTCCTGCTTCCCCAGGATTAGTTGAGAACATCACAAGCCTTTACTATTTGCTCGAGCTTTGCAACAAAAATAATAGAACACTAAATTAATGTTGTTCTCTAACATTCAAAAGGGAATAATAAAAGAATTGCCACCCACAGCCACACTGAAGTGTAAAGTTCATCAATGTGATGTTTTAAACATTTAGGATGTAAAGCAGATTTTGTGTGTGATTTTTAAAATCAACTGTGCCAGTCTTCAAACCCTTGAAACACCAATTAGAAAAAAATTGAGCCCACTGTATTCTCATTAGGTAGCACAGTATCTCTCTAAGGAAAAGCAAGAATATTGCTCTGTCTTTTACTTCTGTTTTTGTATTGTCTTTTGGGAACTAGATATTTATGTTCTCCCAAGATTGTAAATATTATCTAATCATTTTAGTAATCGTCCAGAATTTTCAGAAATTATTGCAAAACCAAACTACAAGTTCATAACTGTACTTGCTTCTAAAGTGGGAGTGGATAAACACATTTTCCTGATAAATTAGTGACAAAAAATGTCATCATATAAAATGTTTTACAAATAAGGTTTTCTATTTTTCTTTCACATAATATTGAATGTATTAACTTAAAACTTCTTTCAAAGGAGTTTTTCTTTCCAGTCTTAAACTTTTAGTAACAAAGTGATAAATTTTATTTTTACTCAGAGCATACTTAATATATAGCTTGATGTACAAACCTCTCCCATTTCTTGTCTCAGCTGTTGAAATTCTTGCCTTTCCATTTCCAACTTTTGCCTACGCTCTTCTTCTGTGCGCCTCTTTTCCTCCTCCATTTTTTGTTTCAGCAACTCTTCAAAATTAATTTCCAGTTTACCAGGTACAAGAGATTCTTGAGAAAAGGTTTTAAACATTTCTGGTGATTCATCATCCAGCACCTGCTGGAAATTCAGAGCATTAATTATATCTGTGATGAAATCACAGCATTGTTCAGACACTTCTGGTACATAAAGACAAGTGACTATTTGTCACATCTGCCCCAGCACAGACAGGTGCACTGTGCCAGTGTGGCCATTCCTCTGATGCTGTGGGAGGGAGTGCTTTGGGGCTTGGTATTTAACTTCAGTTACAACACTAAACTTTTATAATGAAGATTAGGTGGTTTTTTAAAATGCAGTATTTTCCCTCTGTAGGGGAGGATGTCCTCTAAATGCACCTTTAGGACCTAAACCAATTAATTCTTGTTTACTTCAGACAAAGTGTTTGTATTTAAATGTCATTGCTCTTAATACTGAAGTACATTTATCTGTGAGCTTTCTCTTAAGCAATCTGAATTATATTTGTGTTCTAAAGCAGTATTAGTACTCCCAGTAAGGATAAAGGAACAGAACATGCAGAAGAAGCTCTTCTTTTTGCACAAATTGTTTAAGTTAAGCTATGTGGCTAGTTTATTGATTTATAGGCCCACTAGCAGGGGTTTCCTCCTCTCCCTGTCCCTGAATGGCTTCAGAGCAGGGTTATCCTGGTTTGCATTGGGAGCAGCTGCCTATCTTTTAGACTAATCTGTAAGATAGTAGGGCCTGGGAAAGGCAGCTTTCATTATGTCCAAAGCAGCAAGTGCAAGAACTAATATTTATCAGACTGAATTTGCTGAAATACTAAAATATGAATCTGAATACTACAAAAGCAGCCAGTAGTGACAGTGTGTTATACAGGAATTTTAATGGAAGTTTATGAATAAGAATATATGTGTATGTAACTATATAAACTTACTAACAGAGATTGTCTCAACAGGAATGTTCTGTGGGTAAAGGTGAGGTGAGGTCAGGCACTGGTCAGGTACTGAACTGGGGGGTGATGTGGCTTTTGGCACTGTTTGATCAGCACAGGTTTGAAAAGCCTTGTGGCAAACATGGGAGAGCTCAATGTGCCCTAAGTTGTAGGCATTTCCAACTGCAGTAATCAGTCAAATGATAGCAATAATTAAAGGAGCAATATTTCCTTTTGAGAAAGTGCTCTGACTATAAAGGGACAGAGAATAGGCATTTCTGTTAGAGCCTCTGGCACTACTTGTATTTATTGCTGCTTACTGCCACTGGAACCCACACCTTTTTCTGCTGTTGGTGTTATCTTGGTTCATACCACACTCTTGACCTACTTTGCCCATATAATCTCTTTATTTGCCACAGCTCTTTCAGTAGTTTTTTAGCCCAATCCCACTCAAATTCTCCTATTCACTACAGATTTTACTCAGATTTTCCCTCTAAGCTTACAACTGCACTTCAGCACCACCATTCCTTCCATTCTTCATTTGTTTTGTGTGATATGAGCATAATTGTTGAAATTGTGTTAGAGAGAAGTGAAGTCAAAAACCAAAGCTGTGAACTCCTCCCTACAATGAAAACTATGCCTCACAGTTTTTAGAGGCTACCCATAACTAAATTAGCAAAGCAGCATGAAATTCTCTTGCTGGTGGTGCATTAGTTCATAAGCTCATGACTTCAAGAAGATACCAAACCTAAGTGACCACAAGAAGCATCAATTCAGAATTTGCCCTAAAGAATTCAAAAGCTGTGCATGCACTAGCAGTTGTCTCTGTATTTCTAACTAAGTTATGAAGACAGCCACCTATCCCTGGTTAAAAACCACAAAGATTTAGCTGAGCTGTGTGATGCACTAAACCTCTGTGGTTAGTTCAGTAAATATTTTAGCCATATTTTGTGAAATTAGGCCACACTTGTTTTTTTCTGCTCAGTGGAAGTGGTTGGTAGTGATGAACATTCCTGTAACAGTCATGGTTTGCAGCACAGTCAACAGGAGAAGTTTTTTTTGTTTTGTTTTGGGGGCTTTTTTGTGCTAAGTCAGGGGTTTTTTTGCAGTCTCTACGAGAAAAAGATTGATGAGGGGGAAACACAACTGCTTCAGTGTAGAAGTGATCACACTGATGCTGGGGAGCATGGAAATAGCACAAGGAAATGTGAAAGAGGGAGATCCAAAAGGAGGTGGCATTTGTGTTTTCCAGCCACAATACTGCCATTTCTACCACTTCCAAAAGAAAATTAAAATGAATGAATATTAAAAAGTTCCTGGAATAACAATTTAATGTTCAGTTACTATTTTTACTGCCTTTGAAAGGGAGGACTATTATATTTTTAAACATTTTAGGACAATCTTCACTGCTGTTACATTTTGTAGCAGTGGGAAATAAGGAAAACAGAGGATTATATTCTGTTAATAGTAGAAAATGTAGTATTCATATTCAGGATGCTACTTAACAGAGAACTTTCAAGTGCATAAATGCTAAAAATATATTTCAGGTTTTTTTTAGTTCCAGACCACCTTCACTGTCTGCAAGTAGAGCAGTCACAGCCACTCTGCTGCATCTCATGGATTACACCCTGTTTATCAGTGAGGTTTTTCTTGCCTGGACACTTGGGTTTAGGTTCTTGCTACACTGAGGCCAAAAAAAAGAGTTTCTTAAGAAAGCAGGAAAAAACAGAAGCAGCACATGCTTTCTGTGCTTCCTTTAGTTCTCTATTGCCTTTTCATAAAAAGTCTCCAGTAGCATTCTTTTGTTGGATTGAGGGTATTTTTAAGTGGCTTTAGGTTTTGTTTTCTGTCTTTGGAGATACAGACAGACACTATTTTTCAGTATAGTATCAAATATAAATTCACATGGTAGCTTCTCTAGGTAGTCTTTCAGCACAAGTCTTTGGCCCAATTTCCAGGCAGAGGGAGCCCTGCTGGCAGTATCAGTACTCATACAAAGTTTTCATTTCTCTCCCAAGTATTGCTTTGAGTGATTAAGAAAATGTTACTGGGCACACAGTTGGCCTTTCCCAGTTCAGCCACAGAGGATGTAGGAAGATGCTACCAGATGCCTGGGTTATTCCACAGTTCTAGCCTGGCAGGTCCTGCCCTCCCTTTTTGAAACAAACACTACTTCATTCTAGTTTATATTTTTGTAATTTAATGCTGTATTTCCTGATATCCACCAATAAGTAACACCAAAAGCCTGCAGAATCTTGAAATGGTTGGACTAAGTATGAGGACCACAGTTAAAAGCTCTGTGGCCACTTTTTTTTTTTTTTAATATAAATAGTAGCCAACCTCTGAAATCAGGCATCTTTATGTGCTTTCAGGTAGTGTCAGTCAGTCCTAAGCCCCTGAAAATTTCTCTCCAGTTTAATCCTAACTCAAATTTTAGAAGTCCTTGCATAGGACAGAAATCTGTGTTTGTCAAGGGAAGATAGTATTACAAAGTATTCTAATGGTAAACACCACAAGTTATTGTTGTTTTTCCCTGAACAAACATTAAAAACATCAAGTAGCAGAGCTCAACCTTTTAATTTTTTCTCCCTGAAGAGCCACAGATGGCTGGAAGATAAATACTTGCAGTGAGCATTTTTCTATTATGTCATTAATTAGTAGTGCTTTTAGTAGTAAGAGTGGACACGCTGTAGAGGTAGGGGAATAAACTTGGAGCTGTAAAAGAAATTGCTCTTCCCAAAAAAAAACCCAAAACAATTAACCCTCCTTGTGGAAACATTTTGCTTCCCAAGTATGTTGCATCTAGTGTAATAATATCCACTGGATATGATACCTGGTTTGGACTAAATTATCTGAAATCCTCTCTAGGCTGGCTATGTGGAGGGATTGTTCTCTGATGACTTTTGGTAAATGAACCTGACTAGTTTACCCCATTACCTTATAATAAATAGTAAGGTGAACTAATTAATGAAGGAGTTGAAGCATGTATTCCTGACTTTATTTAAAAGTTTTTCCCAGAGTTTCTTTCCAGATTGGGATTAAGGTAAAAATTAAATTCTGTGCTAAACAAAATACCATACCATGTTCTTCCTTGCTTCAGCAAATGCTCTTTTCTCCTCCTCTATGCGTCGTCGTGCATCCTCTTCTGCTTTCCTCTTTTCCTCTTCTCTCCTCTGTCTTTCTATCTCCTCAAAACTGAGTCTGAGTTTACCAGGGCGGAATTCTTTAACAGCATTTTCAGATTCTTCATCACCACCTTCATTTATCTTAAGAGAATAGGGAGAGGAAAATGTAGAAAGCACTTACCCAAACAAGAAAAAATATTCTTTATTGCAAGTAAATACTCCATTCCTTTCTGATCTTTTATAAGTACTGTTTTCTCTTTGGGGGAAAAAAATGCATCAAGACTTAGGTTCCTGTGAAAATCATTTTAATCTTTGTTCTAGCCAGGGGAGCAAGAAAAGAAAATTTCAGTATCCTACACATAGCTTTTATAATTTTTAAAACTGTGTTGAGTGTGTAATTCAAAGAACAGTGTGTTACCAGGAAGAGGCTGAACAGTTAAGTACATACTTTATGGTCTCATTGTTGGATCATTTACTGTAAATCACTCTCTATTCTCTTTATTTACATCATTTTTGTAGATGTTTATATCATCAAGTCTTTTTGTTTGTATAGAAATTGCTTTCATCCGTGCACCACCTAAAGAAATGCTGTACAGTCTTATAGCAAAACTGAATCAGTTAGCATTTTGCTATTATCCCAGACTGAGATTTTTGTTTCTTTTACTTTTAGACATTTAATCATCACTGAAGAAAAGGAATTGAGATACTCTGATCTCCTCGCTATAGTTCTCTCCAGTGAACTCTGACGTGCTAAGAGAAGCCTGTGGTTTGCAAGCTGCAATCAAGAGCCCCTTTCAGAGGACATCCCAGAGAACTTTATCTGTTCATGGAGGAAGTGACTGGGAGCTGTCAGAGCACTGATAATCCAGATCTCTATACTGTAAGCAGCCCTGGGACTGCTATATGGGATAGCCCATTAAGGGAATTAGAGAAATCTTTGTTTGAAATTTGTAAGGGAAAAAAAAATTGAAGAATTTAAGGAAATTAACTGCTGAATTCTTAAGAAAAAGATTTACTTCAAATTTTGACAACCACTGGTCAGCAGCTTCATGTTAAAAAATTTCTTTTGATGTGGAGAATTTGTAAATTATTTCATATTACGTGATAAATAAATGCATAAGCATCAGGAAGGGAGATGTGAACTAATCTTCAGTTAGAACACCTAAGTGACTTCATGGAGTTCACTCTCCTTCAGTTTCTTCACTCTTCTCCTTCACTAGAATCCCTTGCCCCAAACATAAAACAAACCTTCTTGTTATTGACATAACGGCAAGGTTATTGGTGTGAAACAACAGCAGTTTATTGGAGGTGGAGATGAAACAGTAAACTACAATTTGGGTATCTGCCTAAACCTAGAACTCTCTCAATATGGACCAGTTGGGAATTTGTGTGTTTCAGCTTTCTAGAAGTTCTGTGTTGTTGGTTTTGTTTAAGTTTGTTTCTGTAGAATATAAATGTCCTGAATGTTTTGGAAATATAATCAAAATAGTGATCTAGAGCTGTTTTTCTAAAATTGTTCATGCATAATTATACTCTGTTAAAGCTAGCAAATTCCTATAAATAATATTTTCCAAGTTTTTATGGAAGATTAAAATCTCATTTCTTGTTAATCTTGTTTGTATGTGAATTTTGTATGGGAATTAAGAAAGTCATAGTGATCATGACTATACAGGGGAAATGGAGCATGGAAAAACAAGCTAAGCTAAACTATCTGCTTAGCTTAGGTTAATACTAAGTGTGTGATTCCTGCAGTATGATCAAAGAACAAACTATATAGTGAGCTCTGTTTATAGCTGATCTAACTCTGACTTATGATAAAGAACACATATGGAGGCAGTTTTCCATGTAATACAAAACAGGATCTGTGGGCTGCATTTCTGAGAATTTGGGGGACTCCCTCTAGTAATCTATAGTTTGGGGTTTTTTATGTTAGTACATAAAAAATAGCTGATCTGTCTTTTTTTTTTTTTTGCCTTTCTTCATAAGAGGAGAGTTGTAATTGATGTATATTTCTATCACATTTACAAATAAATATGGGGATAAGAAACAGCATTCTGTTACTAGGGAATGTTTACATCAAAAACCAATTACTGAACCATCTGCAGCACTACTTCAGAGAAAACAGCCACTCATCTTCTTGAAGGCTTACAGCTTAAGATACTACAAAGCATAGATAAAAAATCTACTAAGTTGCTGGCAAAATCAAAACACTGTTATTTTTTGGTTTACTAAAAGAATGTCCAAAGCATTATGCCAGTGTGGTTACTGAGTTAGAGCAAAGGTCAAAAATGTCTTTTAAAAACTCATTTCCAGACTCTTAACAGCTTGAAATAGAGATAAGGAATAAGAAAAGAGAAGAATCACATACAGGAAGGAATGTGCAAATTGTGTACCAGCATGAACAAAAGATGTGCTCACCATTCTCTGCCTGGCTTCCTCAAAGGCACGTTTTTCCTCTTCCAGGCGCTGCCTTGCCTCTTCCTCAGCTTGCCGCCTTTGGTTCTCCTGCCTTTGTCTTTCCAGTTCTTCAAATGTGACTTTAAGCTTACCAGGAGACAGAGGATCTTGAGTTTCACTGTTTTCATTCTCACCCTGTGTAAGAAAAATGAAACAGTTGTATCTGAAGCCAATAAATATCTATTATATAGGTATTTTTGGATGACTGCTTTACCTGGACCAATGAAAGGCACTTGGGTTCCTTAAGGAGTTGGTTTTGTTCCTCATCTTTTAGCGCCATTTCTTCATCCTGTGTCTTTCTTTGTTCTGCTCTCTCCTTTCCTGTGTTCTCAGAGATTATTTTCATCTTCCTGGTGCTTTTTACAGGCACTACTGTAACTAGCAGTGAATCATCCCCTTCCTGTCCAAAAAGATATTTATTACATTTTCATGAAACTTGACTTCTAGGTAGCCTCATTTCTTAATGAACCTGCTGTTTAATGTGCGTGCACCAAAGCTTCCAAAAGATTTACTTGTAGTGAATATTACCCACAAGAATAAAGTCAATAGTTTTCTTCTAATATCTGAAGAATATAAAGAACTGAATTATATTTTAAACATAACGACTGGCAAACTCCTTAATTTCTTTATGGATTTTCATTAACTGTTTGCCATAAAAACTCAAGGTTTGGGACAGAACAGGTGTAATTTTGAATACACAACAATTGTAACCACACTCTACTTCCAGTTTTATATTTATTATGTAAATTATAATAAACTGCAGCTGGAATAAGCCAATAGCTCAACACAGAAATATGTAATTTGTAATTTCTAATACGTAATTTGTCAGGTACAGTAATTGTTTCTTGAAGGATGTTGCTGCTTCAACTCTCTATTTACAACTTATTTGCCAAAATATAATTTACCCATATTTTTCCCTCCTGCCAAATAAGTTAAAACTGATGAATTTGCAGGTTTAGTTTTTTCTTTCCAAAACTGTAGTAGGAGTGTGATTTTCTTGTGTTAGTGAAAGACAATAGGACCTTTGGGCCCAGTTTTTGAAATGAAACATTTATTTGCAAGATAAATCAAAACCCGTATGGTATATTAGTAAGCAAATAACAAAGTTAACTGAGTGAGGTGTTCAAGCATCTGTATATTGTCAGAATCCCCCTTTAATTTCAAGTTTAAGGCAAAGAGCTTTTAAGATAATTCTTTGCAAAGCCAGAGGACTTAAAAGAATCCCTAATATATATATATATTAGGAAAAGAATTCCTCACATATATAAAATAATTCTGGTGGCTTTGAATATTTACATTTTAGATGTTCTTAACTAACCACAAAGTATTCATAGTGCAGGCTCTGTTTCAGACTTCATTATATTGACTTCAAGTATAGATATAGTTCCATATACGTTAAAAATTTGTGAACTCCTTGGTTGAACTTTAGTTAGGTATTTCTGTGCTGTTTTCTAAGTTTTCCCAACCCAAATTACAATAATAAAACAAAGTGAATAAAAATGTAGGTGAACATTTCTTTAAAAAAATCTGATTACCTCAGCTGCTGATTCAGTTCCCGTATTGTTAAAGTCATCAATCTATTAAATGAGAATTTCATATGATTACATTAATTTGGCTCTTTGCCTTAGAGTTGCAAACATAGAACTGGAAATTCTTTTTGTATCAGTGATATGTATGTAGCACATAAATTCACAGAGGTGGTAAGGCCAGAGGCTCTGCTGGAATACTTCAGATAGGTCAGCTTTTCAAGGAAGAGGCAACAAGACATAAAACATCCCACACAAAGTCTGCTAAAGCATTCTCAACACTGCTGAACCAAGAACAGTACTTGAGATGTCCAGTCTTCATTTAAACATTCCAGAATTGTGAAGAAATAAAAAATTTAAAAAAAAAAACCAAAGCAAAGTCAATGATCATTTCTGATTCAAGTGACATTGTCTTCCCCTCAGTTCCTGAAAAAAGCCTAATGCTGTGCTTGCTTCCTATGCTGTGCCGATGCTATGGCCTAAAACTGACACACATTTTATAAAATTCTACATGTAAGTACTTCTGCCTTGCAGGGTAGATTAAATACGTGCTAGATACTATGCAAATTAAATGTACAATTTTAACCATGTTAGAAGTTCTAGTAGAAAAGACTATCCAAAACCTAACTTCTCCTACAGCACTGCTTTTTATTTCTTACAACAAATTCAAACCTAAATGAAGTACTACTATCATTTGGTTAAATAGAAATTTGCATATGTTTTTAGTCTATCATTTAAATGCTTTCTCTCACTGCAGTATTTGCAGCACTGAAGAAAACTTGCAAAAGGAATTAAGTTTGATATCCTACAAAAGACAGAATTTGCTTTATTGGCATCAATAAAAGTTGGAGTCTGTTCATATGTTATATATATATATATATATATATGCAATGATGATTCAGAAAATGGCAAGGGAATAAAACATGACCTGGATCTTCATGATTTATTATTTTTACTGCATTAGTGTTGTCTCATTGTTACCTGCCACTGGCGTTTTCTTACTACTTCTTGCTTACCTTAGTTCATGTATCACTGAGCTCTATCCACTAACTTACAAAGAAAGGTTGTCTAAAGTATGAGTTTATAAAATACAAGAAACATTTTCAAATTAGTTTAGTAAACTTATATGCATATGACACCAAAATTTGTGCATGGTTTTTAACAGGTTTATGCCTGCCCAGTTTCATCTGCAACTCAACTCTGGAGCTTACAAGAAAATTTTTACTGTAAAGAAATGAAGACTGTTTGAACATTATATCTCACTTCCACCCCACTGAGCATCTCCCATGTAAATCTCTACTATGAGAAATCTTAAGATCAAATCTTTCTGATCAATACAAAACATTTTAGTGTTTGTTGTTTACAATTACATCCTGACTGTTGTGATCAGATAAACATACCTCCTGTGCCTTTTTTGCCAATTCTCTTTGAATTTTTCTTTTCTCAATCATATCTTGTTCAATTCTGCGCTTTCTTTCTTCTTCCGTTCTTTTTCTTTCTTCTTCTTGCCTTTGCTTCTCCATTTCTGCAAACTTGCCTTTAACAGTTCCTGTGGACATGGAATGCACAGCTCAGCAGTTCCATCTAACACCCAGGGAATTCTGTGGCCTTTAAAGCCAGGCCTCTCTTACCTATGAGCTTTGGAACATAACCCTTTTCTGTTTTAGTTAGTTTGGTGTCATCCTCTTCATCAGATCCAAGCAGTTCTTTCATCTAGTTGATGAAACACAGAAAGTAAAATGTCTTTATAACTTAAATGAAATCCCAGTATTATTTTCTTCAAATAATGTGAATAGATTTTTAGATATAATATTAAATATTATAACACAAAATATTAGCAAAGACAATAACCTCCTGCTTTCTCCTGTTCCATTCTCTCTCTCTAACATATTGTTCTTTTCTTCTTTGCTTTTCATCTCTAGATCTCCTTTGATTTCTTTCTTCCCTTGCTTTCTGCATAGCTTCAAATTTATCCTTTACATCACCCTTGTGAAGCTTGGGCACATAGGACTTTTGGACGGGTTTAGATGAAGAAAGCAGAATCTTGGTGAAGATATAGAAGAAATGAAGATAAGAAAAAGAAAAGTGAAACAGATGGACAGAAATATTCTGATAGATTGGATTAGAAAGAATGTAAGAACATAAAACAGAAGTGCAATTGAGATTATGAACTTTGTGCCATGAGCCATCAGTTAAGCATCATTATATTTGTTCATAAATAGTCATAAATACTAAAATATCCAAAACAAGATTCACATTATATTAAACTATTAAATTAGATACAGATTTTTATTGTAGCTTTCAATCTTAAGCAGTCACCAAAGAGACTCTCTGCCCCCAACATTTAAAAGAGATAAAAAGACATAGATACATAATGCAATACATGTGAGAGTTTTTCTGCAACACTTCAACGGCCATCTATAGTTTTTAAACAAACAGTAGTACTTCTTAATTTAAAATTTGCAATATGCTTATTTTCAATATCTAGAAAAAAACAGGAGCCCAGAGATTTTATGTTACAAAGTGCAAAGATCACTGGACCACCAGGGCTCTGATGCTGATACAGCAAATGGACACTTCTTTGCCAATGGTTACTCTGTGGGTGTCCAAACACCAAAGGTTCCCACTTTCAGAACTACTGTGAAGTTTTGTCTTTCTACAGTGATGACAACAGGAATGTTCTCAATAAAGTAATACTGAGAAAACTGTCTAAAAACATGCTTTGTTTCATATTTTCCCAGTCACACCAGAAGTTTTTGTTCCTGCTACTCAGTAAGTCTGTGGAGAAGAGGAAATACTTGAAGTAGCCTATATATTTACATTTTAGCATCAGATGTAAATGTTACCCAGAATTTCGCCACCAACATTTGAACCTTTTCAATATTTCACCCTCCTCCTTCATGTTTTTCTAATAAGAACATAATTCACAGATTCCATCAAATCTTAAGCTATTTAACAAATCCCCTTTCATTGTCTAAAAATAATGGCAATACCAGCAGACTTTCAGTATAATTGTCTTTTACAATTATTTGTAATTATTACTTTTGCAAGCATCAGTTGTAAATTATTACATTGCCTTGATTACTTTAAAATTGGTACATACCTCAGTTTTCTGTGCAATGTCATTCATGGTTACTGTATTGTGCTCTGCACCTGGTATGTTTAAGATGGCTTTCAGTTTCTACCTAAAAGAAACAGTTGTAGTTACATTCCTTTCTTTTCCTTTTAAATGATGCTTTAACCATCTTCCTGTAAATAAGTTTGCATCGGCTGAAATTGATGGATCACAATTTCACTTGGTCCGCTGGGGCTTTTGCAGACATGAATAGGCTCTAAGTATGCCACAGTAATTAAAAGAACAAGCTAATGATTCACTATTCATGCTCATAACTCCTCCATATAGTCCTAGATATTGGGTTCTAATTTCCATTTAACAAAAAGCAGAACTCGGAGCCAAGCCCTGGCTGCCGGTGCTGCTCGCTGCCAAGCTGCTGCTCCCGGTGCTCGTCCCGCAGCTCCGGGGCCCGCCCGGCCCGAGCCGTGAGCGGGGCTGCGGCCGCCGAGGAGAGATGGGCTGGGGCAGCCCCGCTGCATCTCCGGCCCTTCGCCCAGCACACGGGCACCAGTCCTGCTGTCCCTCCTCCCAGGGCTGTTCTCCAGGGAAAAGTGGTGCCAGTAACTAGGAAATGGGAAAGGTAAGCCACGTACAGATAAAGCATTTGTATAATTCAGCTGTGTTCCGGAAATTACATAGCATTTTTCAGAAGAAAATTGTTAGAAATTTTAAAGTACACTGTATACTAGGGAGCTAACAGGAAGGCACTTTCACTTCTTTTTCTTTTCAGCTTCAGGTCTATCAGAGCTCGTGGGAGGAAGGAAATCATGATGTGACTCCAGTGCTACTGCTGTTGTACTGTATTGATCCTCTGAGTCCCAGGAAAGCCTAAACTCAGTGTGCCAAACATGGTGCAAATAAGGGGCTCAAAGATTTTAAGCAAAAATGCTGGAAAAGCAGCTTACTGCTGGGGGGAAGGGACTTCTCACTTGTGGTTTAGAGGAGCTGAAGTCAGGGATTTTCATGATATGGAAAGTTAAGCTCTTGTTTTTCAAATTGTCTAAGTGATAATTGCAAACAGATCATAAACACAGAAATATTTATGTACTTTTGAAAATAATTAATATTAAGAGTTGTTTCCATGTAAACTCTTCAAAAATATACCAACATCACCAGTGCTCACTGGCACTGCTGTAGCTACACGAAAGGAATGGGATTCTTAGAGATCTTGGGATGTTTTTCCCAATGAAAGCAGTCACAACATATGAAATAAGAGCATTTAGCTACCAACACGTGCCCTGATGATTTACAAATTCTAAACTCTTCAAATTTGCCTTCAATAGAGATGTTCTGGAGAACACTTTGATGTTCCCTTTCAACCAGTTAGTAGGGAAAGTCACACCAGCCCCAGCCCACTCCTTCATTTGTAGACTGATAGGATTCCAAGGTATTTTGGTTTCTCACTTGTGAACACATGGACATATAATCACTAGGTAGCAGTTCCTACTGAGATGGTTTCAGGTCAGCAACAGCATGTTAGAATTGTGTGGAGTCTAGAAAGGCAGATAATTGCATCAGCATTCTGTAGCCTCAGGGTCTCCATAGGCTTTAGCATCCACTTGTACACTGTGCAGGATTTGCACGTCTCTGTAAGCTTTAGCTGACTTCTATGCATGTAAGTAAATCCCCACTGTGATCAGTGTAACTTCACTTCAAATCTTTTAACTCCCTTGTTTCTCTAAGCAGGTCTTAGAGAAAGTTCTCTGTTCTCTTCTTTTGCTGCTCTGCTCATTTGATGGCTCCTTCCCCACTTGGGGCTGGCAACCTTTAGCCTTGTACTTTACATCCAGCAGCTGACTCAAAGCTTTACTGCAGGAAGCCATCAGAAAACAAAGGAATGTCATGAATTGGTGCAATCTTTGCACTGAAGTGACCTGGGACACAGAGACCTTTTACCCTTGACATGGGCTGGAGCAGAGAACACTCAAAGATAATCTGTCACAAGAAATTCCATCTCACCTCAACACCTCAAGGTAAGGTTACCACAAATCGTGACCACAGCAATGCACCCCATAGATAGGGCTTCATCCTAAAGTCATCTGAAAAATGACTATTCCAAAGTCATTTGTGCATTGTGAAACTATTCCAAAGTTTATTATGTGCAATTAATTGTAAGAAGAAGATGATGTTCCTGAGTCAAGACTTTGTCTTGAACCTTTCTCATAGCTCCAATTACCTGACAGTGGGATAACAAATCTGAAATTTTCCTTAGAAGTGCGAATGTTGGAAGAAATCTTTGTAAATTCCTGCTGTCTGGACTTCCAAAATAGTGCCAGTGCAACACGTTGTGGGCCTTCAAGATGGCAGATATGTTTCTGCCATTTGGAATACTGCCATATCTGCTATTACTTTAGGCTACTTTCCAGTTCATTGGCATCACTAACTCTAATATGTTTGAAGGTTAGCCAGCTGGCTCTAAGGCATTTTGCCTCTGCAAGTCATCCTACCTCCACCTCTGATGCTAAAAGATATTGATATAAAGCACCAGCACACTGCTAAACATGATAGCACCCATGTGTGCACTTCCACCCCGCTCCATGGCCATTAAACCTTGAGCAGGATGAGCAGCTGGACTCTGCCTCGGGCACCCCTGAGGGCAGATGAGTCATTTCCAATAAAGACAACCAAAATATTGAAGAAAAAAAGAACTCTTGATTTTTGGGTTGGGTCTGTGAGGCAGTGGCCACAGCTTCAGGAACTACTGCAGACAGAAGCTGCTTTGCATCTGCCTCAGGGAGCATCAGGAGAGGCTCATGGTCAATGAATTGGTGCTGAGAAAACCCAAGTGGCTGCATCAGGAATTCCTGACACCTACAAACTGTGGAAGAACAGTGCCCTCCTCATCTGCCAATAGCTTTGCAAAGTATGCAGTAATAGATTTTCCAACCCAAGAAACCTTGACCTACTAATTCCCTTTTGAGATGAACTAGTTATATTAAATCACCCATTTATATGTATATATTCTTGTTTTGTATTTTCCCAGAGTTCATCTAATAAAAGCAATTCTTATTTTTTGAGGCAACACAAGCCTGCCTGTTTAGTTGCTTACTTCACAAAATGTTTCTTCTATTACAAATCTGTCCAATCTTAATATTCAGTCTCACCTTTTCTTTCCCAAGATCAACATACCTCAGCAGAAGATGTAAGAGCTCCTCATTGAAGCTTCCCACTCAAAAAAAAATCCCAGATGATAATTTTGAACATAACTGTGATCAAAAAACAAGTTCAGCTTGTTACCCTTTGCATCCCAAACTCATCACTCCAGCATTCACCTGAAATAGTGCAATTTTTTTTTCTCTCCACATTTTATCTTTCCTACAATTAAATGACATATCTTTGATAAAGTTAGTCTGGTGTTAGGAGCTTTATACTGAAAGTACCAGACTGCAGGGTCCCTTTGAAGGGTCCTCTCCTCAAGAAAAATTTAACCTGCACCCAGTGATCAATGGTCCTAGCTCTGGAATTGGAAAAAAGAGAAAATGCCACTTAATTTGACTGGCTGTAATGCAGAGAGAGTGAAAAGTTCAAGTGAAAATTTAATACAAAAGCAATTACTACATAGGAAACCAGGCAACAGATCAGAAATGTTCTGTAAAATATAAATTGCTGCTTTCAAACATCTTACTCATTTACTGTAAATGGACAAGCAATCAGCTCTGATAAGCCTTGACCTGTTATGATCATAGCACTTTTTAAACTTTTCATGCAGCCTCCCTAAAATCTTACTTTGGGCAAAAAAAGTCAAAAAAGAAAACCATTAAGGGGACACAGAAAGTTTGATGGCTCACAAGTCCCAAAATCTATCTCCTTAAATTTAATTAATTTCCATTTCTGAAAGCAGGTCATAGTCCTCAATTGATAAAAAAAAAAAAAAAAGTTGTGCAGCTTTAACCAGACTAAAAAATAAAAAACCTTCCTATAAATAATAAAATTCACTTTCTTTTAAAAAATTCTTGGTTTCAGGGGCATGATAAACATCTTCACATGAGACACAAAAAATACCATCATTTCCCTGAACCAAACAGCACTCTTTACAATAGGAGTATGAAGGCAGGACTTTAAAAAAAGGTCCAGTTCCTCTGTGATTTCTCCTTTCAAAGGGCCCCCTGCTCTCCTCCTGGGTGCTGTGAGTTATAAATAAGCCCTTCATGGCACGGTCTAAGCTACGTTTACCATCTGTCTCCTCTTTGTGATCTACTTGCAGGGAAGTCTCCATTATATAAGAAAACCAAACTGTGAGAGTTGGAAACTCACTGCTTGCAGCCAAAGCACCAAGCAGAGACAAATACAGTCCACAGCACTGGAATATTTAATAAAATATTAAACAGAACTGGACATGGGGGGGAAATGGTCATCATTTATGTCCTGCCTGTAACTGCTCTGGAATGACACTACCAGTTGTTGTACCAAATTACAGATACTGAAGTAGATACTAAAATTATCATGCACAGGGGAACATCCTGAGCTGGCATCAACCATCAGCTCCACTGCAGCCAGTAAGTTATGACAATTAATACCAGCTGTCTAAACTTCTCATTTTGTATAAATACAAAATGCAAAACTACTTCCACTCACTTGTATTTCCTTCATTAAGCCTTCATAATTAAAGACCAGAATGCTTACCAACAAGTGACCCAGATAATTTTACAATCTTTTCCTCAATCTTTGAACTTATCCCACTTTGACATTTATTGAGAGTGTTACTTTGTTGTAGAATACTCCTTGCAGATAGGGTGTTATTTATAAAAACATATGTATCATAAAGGATGCCTATGTTTTATACAGCTGTAAACACTCCTAAAGCAGCAGTGCCAATCAGCCCAGCTGTTAAAAAAATGTAATCACCCTTCTCTGTACAAAAGGTCTGTTGATTCCTTACTCTATTCTGCTGTTATGGGGTACACAGGCTCAGAGCAAACATAGTGGGGGTTCAGAGACTGCTCTGGTAGTGGGCAAGTCCTGCTGGGATCTTCTGGCCCACGATTTCATGTTCCATGGTATCTGCTGATCCTAAT